AAATTTTATTTTACGGCTTCTCCGATCAAGTCTCTGGGGGAGAAAGCTACTTTTTGACTCCTTTTCAATCTTCCATTTGATCCCTGGTACCATGTTAAAGATAAACACTGGGTACAGTTGAAAATCAAGGGTCAGAATCAGATGAAAATGGGAGTGTAATCCCCTACCTCTTTTTTTTTTCTCAGTTCCAGTTACTTTTCTCTGTCAGGGTACCTCAGTTTCTTCCACTTTATCCGTGTTGGAGATCATGGAAGAAGGGAAATACACTGAAATAGGAGAAAAGAGAAAGTCATTTCACAGTCTTCAGACTCGATTATTTTCCCTTTATTCTAAAAATCTGTTCCATTTACCCCTAAATTCATTTCCTAAGTGAGATGATTTTTGTATTCAAGCAACTGGGGAAGGGACGGGCAAGGTAACGGAGAAGAGTGAAGGTAAAATATACAACAATAATATTAATCCCTGCAAAGGCTGGGCAAAGGGGAGAATCAAACATGGACTCCTTTAAAAAAAAAAAACACACAAAAAAAACACCTCAATCATTGTATCTCTTCATATCTCTCCCCCCCACAAGTCACTGGGATTTCTACCACTTTTTAAAAGAAAGGAAAATCCCGCATCCCGTCTCGCTGAAAAGATAGGTACACAATTAAACGCGTTTTGACTTCCATGAGGTGTGTAGACACAGTTATATATAAACATATATTTCATCTTTTTCCTTTTCAATGCCTGAAGGGGAAGAAAAAAAAACAAAAACCCTTCACATCAAACCACTCCCTTCTGAAGTATTCAGGGAAGAAAAAAAAGCGCTTTTCTTCAGAGAAGGGAGGTGGGGAGGAAGGGACTAGTGAAGAAAAGAAGAAGAATTACACGTAGTTGGACTAGTATCTAACTAGTTAACCTTTAACAATTTATGCTGATGTCAGACTGAGCATGAGTACTGATTAGTGCCCCCCCAGATCTGCTTATGGGGGCGCCGGCCCAGCAGCCATTTTTGTTTTATGCAGAAACCCTGCCTCCCCCCGCCCCCCCGCGCTCCCTCACACTCACTCAGGACACGGGAGCCTCTATTAATCTGTGCACTAATCAGTTATGGAAAAGGGGAGAAATTGGTGGGTTTCTGGGTAGCAGCCTGGGGTGGGGGTGCCACAGGGAGGAGGCCGGGCCGGGGCGAACATGAAATATTAAGCCAGCCATTTTGTCTGAAAAGGGGATTTTCCCCCCTCTCCCTGTCTTCACGGAGGGGGTGGCGGTGCTGCAGGGGGGGTTGTTTTAAAAATAATTTCCAGGCGGCCATCTTAGTGCCTCAGCTCTGAGAAATATCTCTGAGCGCCCCCCTCAGAATTTAAATATATTTAAAGTGACGGGGAGGGGGGCAGAGGGAAGTCGAAAACTTTTATATATATATATATATATATTTTTTTCTTCTTCTTCTTTTAATCCTCCTTTCTTGTTCTCTTGGAAGGAGAGAAGAAAAAAAGTCTCTCTTCAATTTTTTCCAAGAACCCGTTTTTGGGTGGTTCGGCCCCCTCCTCAGCCGGCGGCCCCGCGGGCGGGAGCTCTGGGGGGGGGCGCCCCGGGGGCCTGGGGGGCCGGGGAGGCTGAGGAGGAGGAGGCCGCCGCCAGGCGGGAGGAGGAGGAGGAGGAGGGGGAGGAGGGGGAGGCGGGGGTGGTGGTAGCGGTGGGGGAGGCGGGCGGGCGGTGGGTGGGGGGGTGGTGGGGGGGCCAGAGCCACAGGATGGCTTCCCCTCTGAGGGACGAGGAGGAGGAGGAGGAGGAGATGGTGGTGTCGGAGGAGGAAGAAGAGGAGGAAGATGAGGGTGACGAAGAGGAGGAGGAGGTGGAGGCGGCCGACGAAGACGATGAGGACGACGACGAGGGGATCCTCGGGCGCGGGCCGGGCCACGACCGGGGCCGCGACCGCGACCGCCACAGCCCCCCCGCCTGCCACCTCTTCCCGCCGCCGCCGCCGCCCCCGCCGCCCCCGCCGCCAGGTAAGCGGCCGCCGACTCACCCCCGCCCCGGCCCGAGGGGGCCGCCGGCGCGCGAGGCCGGGCTGGGGCGACGCACCCGCCGCGCGGCCGAACCGAGGCGAATCCGGGGCGCGGAACGCCGTCTCGGGCCCGGGGCCCCGCGGCGGTCCGAGCGGTCCGGGCGGCGGCGGCGGCCGCGGGGCCAGGCCTCCTCCCCTCCCCGCCGCCCCCCGCCCCCGCCGCCGCCGCCCGGGCTGGAGAGCGCTGGGCGCGAGCTGCGCGCGCGGACCGGGCCACTCGGTCGCGGCTTCGGGGGAGGAGGAGGAGGAGGTTTTTTTTCCCTCGGCGGGGAGGGGGCAGGCAGGAAACGGCCGCGGCGAAGCCCGGGCCCCCTCCCTGGCCGCGCGAGGGACCGCGGAGACCCGGCGGCCGGCCGGCGGCGGGGGAGGGGCGCGTGGGGGAGGGGCGGCCGCGGGCACCCCGCGGGCTCCGGCCCGGGTGGGGTCGGCCGGCGGTGAAGTGGGGTGTCCGCGTGTGGAGCGGCCGCGGCCCTCCCCGTCCCCCCTCAGGAGTCGGAGAGGCGGCGGGGGGGCGGTGTCCGTGGGACCCCCACCTGCCGGGACCTCAGTGTCCGCCGGCTCGGGGCCGCGGGGGGAGGGTCGCGTGCCTGTCTGGGCCGCCGAGGACCGGGCAGGTGGCGCACCCTCCACGCAGGCCACTTCCGGGAACCCCGCAGGGAGAGCGGGCACTCAGAATGGGGGGGGCAAGGGTCTGGGGGCCCAGACGCCCCCAAGTCCATCTCCTGTGCTCGGGGCTCTTTTGTGTCAAGTGCGCACACCCCGCCCCCCCGCCCCTGTCAGTCCGGGTGGCCGAGCTGCCCGGCCAGGAGCCTCACGTGGCTGCCACTCACTGTCACTCCAGCCGGAACCACCCGCGCCCCGAGCAGGTCGGGGCGAGTGAACTGCCCACCCTGCTGCCCGGCGGCCCGGCCGGCGCTCGGCCCCTCCCCAGGGACGACCGGGCGCCTGCCTCCCGGCCCTTCCTCCCGCTGCGGAGGGGACACCCTGCTCGCCCCGGGCCGGAGACGGCCCCGCGCAGACCCCTCTCCCGGGAGTTCTCTCTCGTCCTCGAGGCGAGCATCCTTAGGCTCCACACCCTCCGCTGGGGCAGTGAAAGGGGAGACCCACGCCCCGAGCCTCTGGGTGCCATGCGGCACCAATGCACCAAACTTCGCCACGTCCAGCAGCGTGTTCTTTGTAAAACGGTCCTGCCGATCTGTGGCGCCCGTGGCAGGCGTCCTGTGGGGAGAGTAGGTGCTTCTATTTAGGAGGGCAGGGGGCTGCGTGTCGGGTGAAACGGGATAAAGCCCTCTCCACCGTCGCCAGGCTGCTCTGAAAGGGGAAAAGTTTTTAGAAAGTTGTCCCCGCGAGCCCATTGATTTGCTGGAGGGAAAAGGAATCAGGAGCTGGGAGGGAAGGCGCCAGGAAAACAGCCCAAGGGGCTAAAAGCGAGGGACAGAAAGGATGTCGGTTCCGAGGGGGATTGGCAGCTGTCACCCATTCGCATTTCCAAGTTGGGATGTGCGATCGGGGGGTTTTGATCGGGATTTAGGTTTGTGAGCGGAGCAGGGTCTGAGGGGGAGATGGGTCTTTGTGTCAGTTCTCCCTCCCCTTTCCCTCTTGGCGTTCTGAATAGACCAGAAGAAACGTCAGATGTTTTTAAAATTCTTTATTTGAATTGAAAACCCACCTCCTCTGTCTCCCAGGGCAATTTTTATCTCCCTTTCAGCCCTCCAAGTCTAATCAGTGACCTTAGATGACTTTCTGGGGTAAAACTTTGGAAAAATATTTTTAGTCTGCTCATTATTTCTGTCTAAGTGTGGGCTAAATCACCCTTCTTCAAGGAAATTTGCTCGGGCTGCCCTCCCTCAGCCTTTTCTATGTGCGTATTAGAGGCTTCTATTGTTTTTCCTTTTGACTGCTTTGATTCTCACCATTTTGTCTTACATTTTTTCCCCAAGACCAATTTTATCCCTTCCCCCCTCTCCAGTCTCCTTACATTGTTGAACGTTTAAAATAATAGCACTCGTATTGATGGGGGAAGGGAGCAGGAAGCCCAAAACTCATTTCTTCTCCCTCCCCCTTCTGGCAAGTCTAGAGAAATAATATAACATAATATATAGATGTGATTCCTGGGGGTGGGGGTGGGGAATGATTGTGGGTGGTGCGGAAAATTCTGGTAGTTTCTTTGCAAAAGGTCTGAAGATACAAACCCACCCCCTGCGTGCAATACGCATGTGCAGCAGACCTATTATGGTGGTTCGTTGTGGGGGAGGGAAGGGAATTTGAGAAAAAAATAAATATATGTGTGAGAGATTGATGGTGAGATTAGGAGAGGGGCGGGCGGGAGGCGCGGCTTGCAGCGAGGCTCCTCCCGCTTTCGGGGCTGCCAGGCTCCGCCCTCCGCCCTCCGCCCTCGCCGTCTTCCCGCGATCCGCCGGGCTGTGGGAGAGTCTGGGCTCCAGGCCAGCTTTGAGCGGCTGGTGAGACCGAGGTTGGGGTTTAGATTTGCCTCACTGCCCTCCCTTTCCTTTCCTTTCCTTTCCTAGCCACGCTGCTACCTAGCCTCTCCCCACCACTCTCTTCCGAAGTCCGGAAACCTGCTGGGGTGGGGATTGGACTTAGGGCGGCGAGGTCCCAGGGCTGGGCCCCGCCCCCAGCTGGTGGCGACCCAGGCGGTGTCCCTGGTCCTTAGCCAGTTGGCCGGCTCTTGCCACTCTCCCCGCAGCCCCGTTTCCATGTTCCTATTAATCTCCGTCCCCGGGGTTAGGGAGAGCTGACTGCTGAGGCCTGGCGTCTTACTGACTTCCTATTTCCTATTACAATTTTCACTCTGCCCTCCCCCCGCCCCCATCCCCGGGAGGGTGGGGAGCTTTCTGCAGACCCCCCACCCCCCCCTATTCCTAGGGTGTCTTCCTGCAGGAGAGGACACGGGATCCAGGAGTTAGGAAGAACAGCATTGAAGGGATTCTGAGGCAATGGAAACGGAGGCCTCCAGTGTTAATTGTGGCTAATTTTCCCTTGGCTGTTGTGGGAGGAAGGATTGTGTGTCCTGGAGCAAGGGGCTGGGCCAAGCGCTGGTTCTCTCCAGCACAGCCACAGCCACAGCCACAGCCACCTCTGTCTAACAAGACAGGTCTGGCTGGTTAGTCTAATGCTTGCTGTGGGAGCAAAGCCAATCAGGGCTCCATGTCTCTGTGGCATCAGTGTCTTCCTCTGCATGGAGTAACTCTGTCTCCTAAGCCTCCACAGACTGGCAGGGGTCATGGGAAATGGAGCAGGGGGAAATCAAGGAAGAACCAGCCCTGGCCTCTCTGACAGACATTTGGAGAGAAAGTTAGGGGCCTAGTAGCCCTGCTGAAAGCAGGTACAGGCTATCCTCGATGTGTGCTTGTAAGTATGAGAGTATGCTTGTGCATGTGATAGTATAGATGCAGGGTGTGTCTGTGTCTATATCTTTGTCTGGGTCTCCCATACTGTTTATTTATGAATGGTCAGGATGTCTGGAACTAAATTTAGAAATGAAGGGTGAGACTAAGGGACAAAGAATAGGGCCCTAGAGTTCCCAAAGGGAGCAGGGACATAGAAATAGATTTGAAGGCAGATTCCAGGCTGCTTAGGAGGAGAAGGAACCCTACATAATAAAAGCCTAATATGTTGAGTGTCCGGTCGTCTGGTCAGCCGTTCAACCAATCAGAGCATAATATGCTAATGATATGCTAAGGCAGCCCAACTGCTCGCTATGATGTGCACTGACCACTATGGGGCAGACGCTCTGACTGGTAGGTTAGCTTATTGCTGGGGTCTGGCCAATTGGGACTGAGCGAGAGGGGCTGGACAGGCCCTGGAGCCCTCCCGTGGTCCCTCCCCGGCTGGCCAACCTCCTGCATCCCTCCCCGGCCCCAGTCATGCACTGGTGGGGTCCCTCAGCCTGGCCTGCACCCTCTCACAATCCGGGATCCCTCGGGGGATGTCAGAGAGCCGGTTTCAGCCTGATCCCTCAGGCCAGGCCAAGGGACCCCATTGGTGCACAAGTTCGTGCACCAGGCCTCTAGTCTATATATATATATATAAAAGGCTAATATGCAAAGTGTCCCCTCAGAAGTTCCACCAGGAGTTCGATTGCTAGCTATGACTTGTGCTGACCACCAGGGGGCGGCACAGAATGAAGGAAGGCCCCGGCCAGCAGCCGGGGAAGGGAGGCCCCAGCCGGCAGCCAAAAGGCCCCAATCGGCCCTGATTGCTGGCCAAGCCTAGGGACCCTACCTATGCACGAATTTTGTGCACTGGGCCTCTAGTATTTAGATAATTGTGGACGCTTTCTACTGTAGGGTTAGGGTGTGATGAAGGAGCCAGAAACTATGAACCTGGGGGCCAGAAGTGAAAGTGCCAGCTGATAATTTTTTTTCCTCCAGGGCTGTGTTGGGGTGACAGAAGGCTGGGTGATCATCTGCAGGAATATAGAGGCCTCCCTCTTCACAAAAAGGATGTGAAGGGCCCCAGGGTGTTAGAGTGAGAACCCAGGTGTCCACCTTTGGCTCTCCCTTCTCAGCATCTGGCTTAGGGAGCTGCCAGCTTGTGTCTCCCCACTCCAAGTGCTGGGGTCGGGCCAGGCCAGCAGCTGGGCATGGCTTCCCCAGTTCCTGGGCAGGATGCCAGCTGGCTAAGCGAGGTTCTGGAAGGCAGGAGGAGCCCTGGCGGCGACTGAAAGGACCTGCCACAGTCGGAGCCCATGACCTAGAGCCTGGTCCCTTGTTAGTAGGAGGGGAGAGAAGGGAGTGGTTTGGCTGCTCTTTCCTTCTGACCCTTGATCTCCCATTCAGAACCAGAGCATCCCAGAGTACTTAAAAGACTCTGTTTGCAACCAGTGAAAAGAGTCAAGGTTCGGAGGAGTTAACGCTGGAGTTCCTAGAGAGTGGGAAGTAGGAACCAAGGAAGTTAGGAAGGGTGAGGTCAAGGGCCTGCATAGACCGGGAACCTAGAAGCTTAGGTTTTTCTGTTATTCTCTGCTCTAAAGATAAGGATGACATTCGACTGCTGCCTTCAGCATTGGGTGTGAAGAAGAGAAAACGAGGACCCAAGAAGCAGAAGGAGAACAAGCCAGGAAAACCCCGAAAACGCAAGAAGCTTGTAAGTGTTAAAGACTTCTGTCTCTACAGTAAGGTTCAGGAGACCCATTCCCAGAGGCCTAAATTGTTTCTCGTCCTGTCTTACCCCCCTCAATCCCTCTCCGCCCCCCCCCCCCCAAACACACCGCCAACCTCCCTGCACCTCTTGCTGGCCTGTATCTCATGTATCTGGGACCCTAACTGCACTTACTACAAACAGGGAAGAGCCTAGTTTTCTATGTAACTTGCCGTAGCAACAGAGAGAAGCAGTTGAAAGCACAGGCTCAGGAGGTAGACTGCATGAATTTGGAGCCTAGCAGTCCTCTGTCTTCTTGGGCAATTTATTTAGCTCTCTGTGCCTCAGTTTCCTCATCTGCAGAAACACACACAACCCAAACGTGCATACAAATAGATTAGTTACTGTCTCATAGGATTGTTGTGAAGGTTAAAAGAGACAATATGTATTATTGCTACGAACAGTTCCTGGCACATGGTAGGGCTGAGGAAATGTAATTTTTATTTCTCTCCCTTAGGACAGTGAAGAGGAATTTGGCTCTGAGCGAGATGAGTACCGGGAGAAGTCGGAGAGTGGAGGCAGTGAGTATGGAACTGGACCAGGTCGGAAGCGGAGACGGAAGCACCGAGAAAAAAAGGAGAAGAAGACCAAGCGGCGGAAAAAAGGGGAGGGAGATGGCGGGCCCAAGGTGAGTACAATTAGGGAGTAAGGGGGAGAAATGAATAGTGAAGACAGATGTGAGGAGGGAGAACCCCAAAGGGGGCTATTTGCTAAATGGAGAGGCTACAATGGGGGACAGCGGGAGATTGGGCTGGAGAATGGGGACATGAAGCAGAAAACCCAGGGAAGCTGGTGGGCCGGTAGGTAGGACCCACCAGCTTCCCTGGGCCTAGGCTGGGGCCTGGAGAAGCACCAACTCAGCCTCACTAAAGCCTGGTGTCTCCCAGCAGGTAGAGCAGAAGTCATCAGCAACTCTGCTTCTCACCTGGGGCCTGGAGGACGTGGAGCATGTGTTCTCGGAGGAGGATTACCACACGCTTACCAACTACAAAGCCTTTAGCCAGTTCATGAGGTGCGGTGGGACTGGAGAGTCCGCGAGAATAGACACTTCTTATTTTGGGGAGGCCCTGGCCCTTCTGAAATCTGATAAAAGCTAAGAAACTGATCTCCAAAGAAATTCACAGCACGCGCACACACACAAAGTTCCAATGTAATTTTAGGGAATCCCTAGACTCCTAAGGATCCAACGGCCACAGTCAGGAGCCCTTCACAGGTCGGGGAGTGTCACAATTCCAGCACCAGGTTAGAAAATGCTCTAGTGACAAAACATAGTGAGGACTGACAAGAGTCCCAGTTTCTCCTGGATGACTTCTCTCTAGACGGCAGCTGAGAGAGAGCGTCAGCATGCCTCCGTTTTCTTTGCTCAGTTATCCAGTCCTCTGCCCCTACTTTAGGCCCCAGTCATAATGGAGGATGCATTGCTAGCAGCAGGACCTGAGCTTCTGTGGCTCCCAAGTAGAGTAGAGTATAGCAGAGATGCCTGTTAGGGAGCAGGCACTTTAACATAGCAGTTTAATGCGCTGGAGGCAGCCTCCTGAGGTTCAGGTCCTCGTATCCTGGCAAGTAACTACACATCTGTAAAATAGGGATGTCATAGTGTGTGCCTCACAGGGGTCTTGTCCTGATTTGATGGGATAATGAATGGAAAGCTCAGTACAGTCGGTGCCTGGCTCCTAGGGAGCATTCAATACCTGGTGGCTGTTATTAAGTACTATTATCTCACCTACCTCACTGCTACAATCACCCATATCCCTGCAAGAGTGTGGCCCGTCAGACTCCACCTGATGGGATCCTTCATCAGGGCTCATGGAACTTGTTAGAAAATTCAGAGAATCATAGCAACTCAGTATTATTGTGAGGATAAAATAAGGTGTGATGGCCATAGCCAGTTTGGCTCAGTGGATAGAGCGTTGGCCTGCAGACTGAAGGTCCCAGGTTCGATTCTGGTCAAGGGCACATACCTCAGTTGCAAGCTCGATCCCAGGCCCTGGTTGGGGTGCATGTGGGAGGCAACCAATCGGTGTGTGTGTCTCTCACATTGATGTTTCTCTGACTCCTCCCTCCCTTCCACGCTCTCTTTAAAATAATCCATGGACCCAAAAAAATAAAATAAAATAAAATAATCCATGGAAAAATGTCCTAGGTGAGGATTAACAACAACAAAAAAGATGTAATGTATATGAAAGTATTTTATGAAATGTAAAGTAATATTCAAAAGTAAAGCATTTTTATATCATTTTTGTTTTATCCTTATCTTCTGTGCATTTAAATTTTATTTTGCTTTTTCTGTTTTTTTAAATACCTTTTCTGTCTTATTTAACCATTTTCTTTAAACTTTTCATTTATTTTCAAGTTGATGTTATTCTTAATAGGACATACTGTCACCACTCAGGAATCCTAGCTTGTACATAGACTTAGTTGATAAGGGGAAATGGCAATATTCCCAGAACATCTGTAAAAGGTCTCAGTCTTCTGCTTGTATGTTTACAGGCCCCTAATTGCTAAGAAGAATCCTAAGATCCCAATGTCGAAGATGATGACCATCCTTGGAGCCAAGTGGAGAGAGTTCAGTGCCAATAACCCCTTCAAGGGGTCGGCAGCAGCTGTGGCAGCAGCAGCGGCTGCAGCAGCCGCAGCTGTAGCTGAGCAGGTGTCAGCTGCTGTCTCATCGGCCACCCCCATAGCACCTTCCGGATCCCCTGCCCTTCCACTCCCACCTGCTGCTGATATCCAACCCCCACCCATCCGAAGAGCCAAAACCAAAGAGGGCAAAGGTGAGAAACCCTCTTTGAACAACTGTCACCCCACCCTCCAAGCCACATGTCCTCAAATTATAGTCTAGAACTCTCTTGTCCTCTCAGTCCTGATTGCTGCAGGAGAAGTGTTCTCCAGGAAGGGTTCTCTGTGAAATCAGAACCCACAGAAAGGATCCCTGTGACCTCTGTCATCCCAGGAGGTCATGACCTCTGCTTCTCCTCCCTCATTGCCACTCCTCATCCAGGTCCCGGCCATAAGAGGCGGAGTAAGAGCCCCCGAGTGCCTGACGGACGCAAGAAGCTTCGGGGAAAGAAGATGACACCACTCAAAATCAAACTAGGGCTTCTGGGTGGCAAGAGGAAGAAAGGCTCAGTGAGTAGCCCTTCCCTGTTCGCTGTACGCCTTCAGGGTGTCAGGGTTTGGGGCTGGGGGGTGGGGGGGGGCAGGTGTCCAGACACAGGGGTCTATGAGGGAAGCTGAAGTGGGAGCTAGAGGCCTGGGGAGGGGAGTAAAATCAAGTCAACCTCTCTGACAGCCATGGGGCTATGGGCAGTATGTTTTTCAGAGTGACGAGGGCCCCGAACCAGAGGCTGAGGAGTCAGACCTGGATAGTGGCAGTGTCCACAGTGCCTCAGGCCGTCCTGATGGCCCTGTCCGCACCAAGAAACTAAAGAGAGGCCGGCCAGGGAGAAAGAAGAAGAAGGGTAAGGGCTGTCAGTTGTGTGTGACCTTGTCAATTTGCTTTCCTTTCATTCCTTCATTGTCTTTCTTATTTTCAATTTTGAATTCTGTATTCAACCCTCCTCTCTCTCTCTCTCTCTCTCTCTCTCTCTCCCCCCCCCCCCCTCCCCGCCCTCCCCTCCCTGCCCCCTCCCCAATCCCTCTTTCTTTCTCTGTTCCTTTGCCTCCACGGGGGTATATGACAGTCCTGGGCTGTCCTGCAGTGGCCGGGGAGGAGGAGGTTGATGGCTACGAGACGGATCACCAGGATTACTGTGAGGTGTGCCAGCAGGGTGGGGAAATTATTCTGTGCGACACCTGCCCCCGTGCCTACCACCTCGTCTGCCTTGATCCTGAGCTTGACCGGGCTCCTGAGGGCAAATGGAGCTGCCCCCACTGTGTGAGTACCTGGTGCCAGCACGTCAGGGACCCGCCCGCCTTTTCCTCCGTGGTTTCCGTTGTCCTCTTCCTATGCCCAGAGGCCTGGCCTTCTCAGTAACGTGTTTAAGTGACCAGGATTCTAGTCTGTATCTCTCCCCATCCCTTTGCTCCCCAAATCAACGTTTTTAGAAACTGGGACATCCTGTGTCTTTGTTCCCACCAGTCTTCCAGGCACTTCTAGGACTTAGGTGTCCTGTCCTTGCCTCTATCTTCCAACCTCACGCCTATTTCCTTTCTTCTGTCTATGTCTGTGTCTGTCCTTGGCCTCCCAGGAGAAGGAGGGGGTACAGTGGGAGGCCAAGGAAGAGGAGGAGGAGTATGAAGAGGAGGGAGAGGAAGAAGGGGAGAAGGAGGAAGAAGACGACCACATGGAGTACTGCCGTGTGTGCAAGGATGGTGGGGAGCTCTTGTGCTGTGACGCTTGCATCTCCTCCTACCACATTCATTGTCTAAACCCACCCCTGCCTGACATCCCCAACGGTGAATGGCTGTGTCCCCGATGCACAGTGAGTGTACCCATCTCTCAGTGTTTACTGTCAGCCCTGACTCCTGTCCCATCTCTGGGTCCCAGACGTTTAGCTCTTCCTCTGCTCTCCCCCACACTTAACCCGAGATTCCCTGGTGGGATCCCTCTCCGACTCTAATGGTGGGCTCTTTCTGCCTTTTTCTTTCCTCCTCGTGTGTGTCCATCCTGAAGTGCCCCATGCTGAAAGGCCGTGTGCAGAAGATCCTGCATTGGCGGTGGGGGGAACCGCCTGTGGCAGTGCCGGCCCCCCCACAGGTAGATGGGAATCCAGATGCCCCACCTCCTCGTCCTCTTCAAGGCAGATCAGAGCGAGAGTTCTTTGTCAAGTGGGTAGGACTGTCCTACTGGCACTGCTCCTGGGCCAAGGAGCTTCAGGTACAAGGGCCTTTCCTTGCCCTCTGTCCTGTGACCCCATTTGCTGCAATTGTCTCTCTCACCCCTCTATTTTCTGTTCTTCCAAATACACAGATTTTGCTTTCCCTCACATCAAGCCTTAGGCCCTCACACCATACCTACTTTCTTAGTTTGCAAATGTGGTGTTCTTGGTCTCTAGTTCTTTCTCTCAGTTTTTATTAGATTTCTTCCCGCAGATATAACATAGTCTTCCTTAATCCCATCTCTTATCTAACTTTAACCGTGTTTTACCTATATTCTCAATTTTTTAAAAATATTTTTTTATTGGTTTCAGAGAGGAAGGGAAAGGGAGAGAGAGAGACAGAACATCAGTGGTGAGAGAGAATCATCGATCAGCTGCCTCCTGCATGCCCTAGACTGGGGATTGAGCCCGCAACCCAGGCATATGTCCAGACCGGGAATCAAACTGTGACCTCCTGGTTCATAGTCGATGCTAAACCACTGAGCCCGCTAGCCGGGCTATAGTCTCAATCTTTTTTTTTTTTTTTTTTTTTTTATATTTTATTGATTTTTCACAGAGAGGAAGGGAGAGAGATAGAGAGCCAGAAACATCGATGAGAGAGAAACATCGACCAGCCGCCTCCCGCACATCTCCCACTGGGGATATGCCCGCAACCCAGGCACATGCCCTTGACCGGAATCAAACCCGGGACCCTTCAGTCCGCAGGCCGACGCTCTATCCACTGAGCCAAACCGGCCTCGGCAATATAGTCTCAATCTTAATAAACCTACTCCCTGCCTCCTTTGTTTATTACATCCCCACACACGTCCTGACTCTGTTCTGCTTCATTGTATTCTCCTGCTTTCGCTTTAATTTGTGTGTCTCATCCCATCTCTCTCATCGCTCCCTTTTCCATGCGCTTCCCCTGGTGGCGTCTTCCTTCTTCCCTTTGTTCCCTGGGATGGTAGGGTTGTCTCTTCCCCACCATCCTCTGTGCCCCATCAGCTGGAAATCTTCCACTTGGTAATGTACCGAAACTACCAACGGAAGAATGACATGGATGAGCCCCCACCCCTGGACTATGGCTCTGGTGAGGATGATGGGAAGAGTGACAAGCGCAAGGTGAAAGATCCGCACTACGCTGAGATGGAGGAGAAATATTATCGTTTTGGCATCAAGCCAGAGTGGATGACGGTCCACCGTATCATCAACCACAGGTGAATCCTCGTTCCCTGGGAAGGCCTTGGCCCTGGGATATGCCGCCCTTCTTGTTGGAAGTATGGCCGCATGTTAGCATTTGTTAATTAACCAAATAATTGTTCTATCTGAGTAACCCCTGCTGCAGCCCCAGCCCTTCTGGCCTTGTTTCCTCTATGGGGATGAAAGACTCCGGGGGGAAGCCCAGCCAGCACTGACTTTTTGCCATTGCTTCCTTTAATCTCTAACAGCACAGGAAATGACACGTGCGTCTGGGGATCAGGGCATGAAAGCAAAACATGAAAAACATGTTTTTAGTATTTCTACTAAATACAGTGCTTTTAGTATTTCTTTCTTCATAGTACTTATTACTGCCTAGTGCTATAATTTATTTTTCTGTTTCATTGTTGCCTTCCCCAGTAGAATATGAGCTCCATGAGAATAGAATTATTTGTCTCTTCTGTTCACTCCTGACTCACCAGTGCCTGGCATATAGTAGATGCTTAGTAAATACTGATTGGATGAACAAGTGATATTGAAGCCCAGGGGTGGGTTTTTGTTTTTTTTTTGTTAATCCTCACTCGAGAATATTTTTCCCATTGATATATAGAGAGAGTAGACGGGAAGGGAGAGACAAAGAGAAACATCGATGTGAGAGAGACACATCAGTTGGTTGCCTCCCACACATTCCCAACCAGGGCCAGGATCTAGCCTGCAACCAAAGTATGTGTCTTCGACCGGAATTGAACCTGAGACCCTTCCGTCCCAAGGCCGATGCTCTATCCACTGCGCCAAACTAGCGAGGGCCCCAGGGGTGTTTTTTGATAGTTGATTTTTAGGAAGCCATTCTGAAAAAGTTAAGGTAGTATTTCAGCCATTCTGAATTCCCTTTTAGTGGCCAGCATTGTGGATTAAGTAACAAATTATGCATGTTTGCTGATAATTGTGTTTATTATGATTTTTTCCTACTTGTGATCCATATTATTTTTCTCCTCCTGTCCCACAGTGTGGATAAAAAGGGAAATTACCACTATTTAGTAAAATGGAGGGACTTGCCATATGACCAGTCCACGTGGGAGGAAGATGAAATGAATATCCCCGAATATGAAGACCATAAGCAAAGCTACTGGAGACACCGGTAAGGGAGCCATGTCATGAGTTAGAGGGAGTCTGAGGATAGAGGCATAAAAGCTAAACCTTTAGCATAAAATGAGGTACAGTAGGGACAGACCTATCTAGAATCTAGGACATTGGGAACCTGGGTCAGGTTGTTTGGGGTGGGGTTGGCGAAGAGGCAGTGTGTGGAACAGAAATATGATTTAGCCTGAGCAATGAGAAAGGGTGCTCAGGAGTAAGAGAGTTAGCTGTAGAGGTGGAATCTAAGGGTGAGGGTACAAAGCCTGGGAGAATATGTAGATTATGGGAAGTGGGAGATAGGTCTGGAATGAGTTCCGAAGAGTGGGGGTACCAAGAACCAGGCCTCACTCAGGACCCACTCTTTTCCCAGAGAACTAATTATGGGAGAGGACCCCGCCCAGCCCCGAAAGTATAAGAAGAAGAAGAAGGAGCTACAGGGTGATGGGCCTCCCAATTCTCCTACTAACGACGTAAGTCCTGTCACGGCTTTGCTCTCATTTCTGGAGCCATGGTGATTGAACATTTCCCAGAGGCTACTGACAGAACTTCCCAGAGTTTCAACAGCTTCTTTGAATAGTAGCTCTTTCTTCAATATTCAGCCTTGCCCCAGGAGTGGCTAGGAATTTTGGCATAAGAGAGCCACTAGAGACAGAAGCACATAGGACCCTTCCACCAGCTTCCTTCCCCACAGTGCTGCTGGGTGTTGTTTTAAGGAATGAGGGGGACGGACTAAAGACTAGAACTTTCATGAGCTCTGGCTATGGTAAAGGGAATTGTGACCCAACTTGGTACCAGTGCCAGGGAGGAGGGCAGAGGAGGAGACCAAGACAGCTGACAGTTTCCTTGAGCTTTTTGACTTCTTAACTCTACAGCCTACAGTGAAATATGAGACTCAGCCACGGTTTATCACAGCCACTGGAGGCACACTGCACATGTATCAGCTGGAAGGGTTGAATTGGCTACGTTTCTCATGGGCCCAGGGCACTGACACCATTCTGGCTGATGAGATGGGGCTGGGCAAGACCATACAAACCATCGTCTTCCTCTATTCACTCTATAAAGAGGTGCTGAATTCTGGGGCTCCTGAGGGGGAAGCCAGGTTGAGGCCTACGCTGGCCTGGGGAATGAGGGAATGGAGGATGGTGGGGCGGGGGGTGACGGGCAGAGGACTGGGGTATACAACCTAGACTAATGGTCCCCCCTACCCTCTACTCCCAGGGCCACACAAAGGGTCCCTTCCTGGTGAGTGCCCCGCTCTCTACCATCATTAATTGGGAGCGGGAGTTCCAGATGTGGGCACCCAAGTTTTATGTGGTGACATACACGGGTGACAAGGACAGCCGGGCCATCATTCGTGAGAATGAGTTTTCCTTTGAAGATAATGCCATCAAAGGCGGCAAGAAAGCCTTTAAGATGAAGGTAAGCCCCTCTGCTTCATATCCTCTCAGACCTCAGATCTGCCATTTCTTTGCCCCAGCCAGGATTTCAGTTTCTTTATTCCTCACTCAGCTTCTTCCTCCTTTACCCACCCTCACCCTCTGCGTTCCCGCCCTGGAGATGTAGTAGGCACTCCCAGGGGTGCACATGGATCTGTCCGTACTGGACATGTGGTGCAAGTTTGGGGGCCACGTTCAGTGATCCCTGCGTGGAGCCAAAGTTGGAGGACAGGATAACTGAGTCCCTTTGGCAGTCATGGTCAGGACAGGGTGCCCTGGTAGAAAATGGGGGTCTAGGGGCTGGGGTGTCGGGTGGCAGCCGAATGGATAATGTTGTGTTGGCAGAGGGAGGCACAGGTGAAGTTCCATGTTCTCCTGACATCGTATGAGTTGATCACCATTGATCAGGCAGCACTTGGCTCCATCCGCTGGGCCTGCCTCGTGGTGGATGAGGCCCATCGACTCAAGAACAACCAGTCCAAGGTGAGTGCGACGCTCAGGCCTCAGAAGCTTGAGGTGTGGACTCCGACTTGCCTTAACCCTAAAATACTAAGTACCAGGGGCTTCTCTGTAGTCCAGGAGGCAAGATGCCAGAGAACCTCTGGGAGAAGTCCAGGTTGGAAGAGGGTGAGGACTAGGGACTTGGAGCCTCTGATCCTGGAGGGAATGGAAGCTGGAGGCAGGAAAAGGTTGATACTGTGGGCCAACCATTTGCCACTGATGGGCCCTTTCTCCTGTCTTCTTGTCCCATTTTCTAGTTTTTCAGGGTCCTCAATGGCTACAAGATAGATCATAAGTTACTGCTAACAGGGACTCCATTGCAAAATAATCTGGAAGAGCTTTTTCATCTGCTGAACTTCCTCACCCCAGAAAGGTTTAAGTAAGTAGCTGCTTAGGGCAGTCTGCAGAAATGAGAGGGGTGGGGGGTGCTAAAACAAGTGGGTGGAGGGTTCATCTGAAGTGAAGAATAGAGCTTGAGTTCAGAGGCAAAGAACCTGACAGCTGTTCACATCTCCTCCTGGCTACTAGCAACCTGGAGGGCTTCCTGGAGGAGTTTGCAGACATATCCAAAGAAGACCAGATTAAAAAACTGCATGATTTGCTGGGGCCACATATGCTTCGGAGGCTCAAGGCTGACGTCTTTAAGAACATGCCAGCCAAGACAGAGCTCATCGTTCGAGTGGAGCTGAGTCCCATGCAGAAGTGAGATGCAAGGCGGGTTACCTGGACCAGGGGTTGGGCATTTGTTGGCAGCTTTCCAAGAGTTGGTGATCAAGTGCAACATCATAATCATTTATCTTATTGTGTCTCTTCTCTACCCTCAACCCCGGTCTTCAGGAAATACTACAAGTATATCCTGACTCGAAATTTTGAGGCCTTGAATTCACGAGGTGGTGGGAACCAAGTGTCACTGCTTAACATCATGATGGATCTTAAGAAGTGCTGCAACCATCCATACCTCTTTCCTGTGGCTGCTATGGTAGATACACGAGCTGGGAACTGATTAGTACATGCTTGGCTTTCTAACAGTGGGAGGTGCTGAGCACAGGGCTGAAGCTGGGACTGGATTTCTGAGAGGAGTAGGAATTTTAAAGGTGTGGAGGCTGGATTTGGGCTTCTAGCCTTCCTAGGCACAGTTAGAATATAGGGGTATGTTTCCTTATTCTCTCCTCCTTTCTCCCTCTTGTCCAGGAGTCCCCAAAACTCCCCAGTGGGGCTTATGAGGGTGGGGCACTTATTAAGTCGTCTGGGAAGCTCATGCTGCTGCAGAAGATGCTGCGGAAGCTGAAGGAGCAAGGACACAGAGTGCTCATCTTCTCACAGGTGACCAGCCCTGTGCTTCACGCTCACCACCCGACTAATCCCTTGCCTCCTTCCTGTGCCTGCCGTGGGATGAGAGATTAGGAGATGGCACCCTTAAGTTTCTGGTATAGCTAAGTTCCTCTTGGACCCTGGTCCCTGTTCTTTGGAAATTGTAGTCAATTTCTTTTAAGCCTCATGGAGAGAATGGGAGGGTGAACCGTCTGCCTCTTCAAGGAGGTCTCTGGGGGCTGGTAGCTATTTCTATTTCTTAACCTTATTGGAGAGGGGAGGAGAGGCAGACCTTTTGGAAATCTTATGAAAGCTATGGGTCCACTCTCCAGAAAAGCTGCACAATTAAACAGTTGTATACAGGTTTTTAGGGGATTTATAGATTTCTTTGAAAACTTTTCGTGGGTCTCAGAGAAGAGTCTCTGCCTTAGGAGAAATGATCTGAAATCAAGAAGAAATTATGACAAGAATGTGGAATGAGAGGGGGTCTGGGGGAAGCAGCACCAGGGGAGCATAGGAGTGCAGGGAGACAAGGGTAAAGATTGGGGTTGAGGGAAAGTAAAGGGATAGTCAGAACAGCCAGGGCACACCCCACTACCTCCTCATTCTGGACTCTTCTTTTCCCTTGCTCTAGATGACCAAAATGTTAGACTTGCTAGAGGATTTCTTAGACTACGAAGGCTACAAGTATGAGCGCATCGATGGTGGCATCACTGGTGCCCTGAGGCAGGAGGCCATTGATAGATTCAACGGTAAGCGGGGAGATGCCTTGGTCCCACTGCGGGAGGCCTGAGAAACCAGTGCATAGGTCCCTGGGCTGGGAGGGGCCTCTTCTGGGAGTATATAAGCCCCTTGGGCTTTTGAGTTGGGGACAGGGTTGTTTGTAGTCAGGGAATATCTAGGAACAGGTAGACTGAATTGCTGGCTACAAGAAAAGCCTTATCTCCTGATTCACTCCTCTTAGCTCCTGGGGCCCAACAATTCTGCTTCCTCCTGTCCACCCGAGCTGGGGGCTTGGGCATCAATCTGGCCACTGCAGACACTGTCATCATCTTCGATTCTGACTGGAACCCTCATAATGACATCCAGGTGAGAACTCGCCTCCTAGAGCTTCTGCACCATTTGGCAAGGAGGCTTTGGTTCATGGAGGAGGGTGTCATGTTCTGGGGTCAGAAATAAACCTCTGGGGGCCCCTAGCCAGTTTGGCTCAGTGGATAGAGCGTCGGCCTGCAGACCAAAGGGTCCCGGGTTTGATTCCAGTCAAGGTCACGTACCTTGGTTGCAGGCTCCTCCCCGGCCCGGGCCCTAGTCGGGCTCGTGCAGGAGGCAACAAATCGATGTGTTTCTCTCACATTGATTTTTCTCTGTGTCCTTCCCTCTCCTATTCTCCCTAAAAATCAATGGAATTGATTAACAAAAAAAAACAAAAACAAACCTCTGGGGGGACAGATAGAAGACTCTTCCTTGCCGGTCTCCTTTCCTGAGCATGTTGATGGCATTTCCTCTGCCATCTCCCCTGGCCCGTCCTCACTTTCTCCCACTCCTGCAGGCCTTTAGCCGCGCTCATCGAATCGGCCAGGCCAACAAAGTAATGATTTACCGGTTTGTGACTCGTGCATCAGTGGAAGAGCGAATCACACAAGTGGCCAAGAGAAAGATGATGCTGACCCACCTGGTCGTGCGTCCTGGGCTGGGCTCCAAGGCGGGCTCCATGTCCAAGCAGGAGCTGGATGACATCCTCAAATTTGGCACTGAGGAACTATTTAAGGATGAAAACGAGGGTGAGAACTTCTTTTGCAACTTCTTCGAACTGGCCCCTGCTCTCCCGTGAGCACTTCTCTTCTGAAACCCTTGAAGAAAACTGTTCTGTTCAGTCTGTGGAGAAAGTTGGCCCCTTTCCTTTCCTGTAGGGTTGAAAACAACAAATCACTACATTGACTTCCAGGGAAAGGGCCTTCTCCAGAGCTCCTGCGGAAGGGAAGCAAAGTGGAATGCTTTCCTTTGATCTTTTTAAAGTTCTGCCCGAGATTTTGGTTGGAACTCAAGAGTTCCCTCTTGTTCCCCATCTCCACCAGGGGAGAACAAGGAGGAGGACAGCAGTGTGATTCACTATGACAATGAGGCCATTGCTCGGCTGTTGGACCGAAACCAGGATGCAACCGAAGACACTGATGTGCAGAATATGAACGAATATCTCAGTTCCTTCAAGGTGGCCCAGTATGTGGTGCGGGAGGAAGACAAGGTGAGGGGCTGGGGCGAGGTAGGTACTGTCTATCCCAGGCCAACTCTGAGGGGCGGTTTCCTTTGCTGGACCTCAAAGTAGGAGGATCCCTTTCCTCTTGTTTTTTATCTGATCTTTTATCTTAGTGCCCAGCAAAGAGCAGTAGTGAACCACAAACAACTGCTTGGTCTGGGTCAAATTGGACTGTGGAGAAAGACTTAGGCACAGAAAGCGCTGCACTGATACACACATAAGGGTGCTTTCTGAGTCAGAGCAGGAGGGACGCAGAGGGCACTAGAGGAGAGGTTTCGAAAGGGAAATAACGAGGAGGAGCGTACTGAAGGTAAGAGATAAGGAACAGGAAAACGTGCGATGTCCAGAAAATGTATGCAGAGCTGAGATCGAGGAGGCAGGAGGGAGAAGGACTGGGTGAAGCGGGAAGCCACCAGCATTCATTCTCCTGCTGTTCAGATTGAGGAGATCGAACGGGAGATCATCAAGCAGGAGGAGAACGTGGACCCTGACTACTGGGAAAAGCTGCTGAGGCATCACTATGAGCAGCAGCAGGAGGACCTAGCCCGGAACCTCGGCAAGGGCAAGCGGGTTCGCAAGCAAGTCAACTACAACGATGCTGCACAAGAGGACCAAGGGGAGGACTGCCCCCCCCCGCCCCCCCCCCCGCCCCCCCAGTGCAGGAACTGAGAAGCACATAGTGCTGAGGAAGGGCCTGAGGCTGGGACATTCCGTAGGAAAGAGAGAGGCCTAGAAGTTGGGCCTTCTTTCTTAAAGGGAAAAGGAATTAGGAAGGATCAGTAGGAGCTACCCAGAGGCCAGGTGGATTTGCAAGCGATCTAAACTGTTTGGTGGTGGTGGAGGGTTCCTATGGACACCCAGGAGTCCTTGTTTAAAGTGGGTTACACAGGATTCAGGAGGGTCAGAGACAAGGTGTGTGGACATGGTTCAGGATATATGGCTTTGAAGTCAGACTGCAGACGTCATCCAGCATCCCCAGGAGGCATCCAGGAGGAAAGGGCTTGTGCAGGGAGCCATCACTGACACTGAGTCTTTTCCCCTTGCAGATAACCAGTCAGAATACTCAGTGGGATCAGAGGAGGAGGATGAAGACTTTGATGAGCGTCCTGAAGGTGGCATCTACTTTCCTGACTTTCTACCACATCTCTTCTCATTTCACTTCCTATTGTCCTTTAAGCCCAGTTTTTATATAAATAAATGCCTTTTTTAAAAATTTATTTATATATATATATATATATATATATATATATATATATATATATTTTATTGAGTTTTTACAGAGAGGAAGGGAGAGAGATAGAGAGTTAGAAACATCGATGAGAGAGAAACATCGATCAGCTGCCTCCTGCACATCTCCTACTGGGGATGTGCCCGCAACCCAGGTACATGCCCTTGACCGGAATCGAACCTGGGACCTTTCAGTCCGCAGGCTGACGCTCTATCCACTGAGCCAAACCGGTTTCGGCAAATGCCTTTTTTTTTTTAAGAAAAAGTAAAGATTACAGATGAGCAGAAAGAAAGAAATATCCCTAACCTCACCACTGTTAAAATTTGGAGTATATAACCACACAAGCTTAGATGCCTAAATGAAAGATAAAGAAAGGTTGCATCATTTTACATTCCCATCAGTAATCTTGCTTGCATCAAATATTTAATAGTAATTTTTCACTACTGAGTTAGTAGTTCTGAAAGTGCTTGGAAGAAAATTAGAAGTGCCTCCGACATGTCACAGGCCTTCCCCGAGTTCTTTATCTTGTGGGAATGGGGTGTTGGAAGGACTGGGGGGTGGAAGAAGTAATGGATCTACTTGCTGGGGTCATCCCTGTCCAGGGCGTCGACAGTCAAAGAGGCAGCTCCGGAATGAAAAAGATAAGCCACTGCCTCCACTGCTGGCTCGTGTTGGGGGCAACATTGAGGTGAGAGCTGGGCCCGGGCGCCCCGGAGTTCCCTAAGGAGAGAATGAAAGCTGGGGTCGGAAATTGAGTCACTGAGGGAGAAAGGACCAAGAAATGAGAAGCCTGGATGTCATCACCCTCTCCCGCCTCTCCCTAGGTGTTGGGGTTCAACACCCGGCAGCGGAAGGCTTTCCTCAATGCCGTGATGCGCTGGGGGATGCCCCCGCAGGATGCCTTCACCACTCAGTGGCTGGTGCGAGACCTAAGGGGCAAGACTGAGAAAGAGTTCAAGTGAGTGTGGGTGATTCGGGACAGTTGGATGAAAGGGTAAGAGCTTTGGGTGTGTCCTTCTTCCTCTTGGCCCCATATGATGTGATCTTACTCAGCTGACCATCACGCTCCCTGCCGTACAACAGTCCGAGCTCGGTTTCCTGGGGGGTGGGCTTAGCCTGACCCACCTTCCCTCAGACGAGCTGAGAGTAGAGAGGCCGGGCTTCCTCCCCATGGGAGAGGTGGTTACGAGAGGAGCCTCTCCTAGACTGTCCTTGCCTCACATTTATTTGGCCATTAACCGGGCAGGGGAGCTGGTGAAAAGGATGAGGAGCTGACTGATGGGGCCTAGGAATGAAGTACCAAAGCCAAGGAGACAGTGGAAGAACAAGGGGAGGGGCAGATGGGGGTTTAGGATTTGGAGAGGCTCAGGAGGACCCCTGGAGGCACCTCAGGAATTTAGGGTTCAGGGGTTCTGTAACCCCTGTCCTTCTTAAGGCTCTTCTAACCCACCTTCAATCCCCATGGTTCTTAGGGCCTACGTGTCTTTGTTCATGCGCCATCTCTGTGAGCCCGGGGCAGACGGCTCTGAAACATTTGCTGACGGGGTCCCTCGGGAGGGCCTGAGTCGCCAGCAAGTATTGACCCGCATTGGAGTCATGTCTCTCGTCAAGAAGAAGGTATCACATGGCCCATGCACACAGACAGTGGGGCGGTTAGGGCCTGGGTCTGGGGCAGGTTGGAGGGGATCAATGGGGGGAGAGAGGGACATATGTAATACTTTCAACAATAAAGAATTATTTTAAAAAATAAGGTACAGTCTTCTCCTCACCAAAGGGCCAAGCTGGCAGCCTGGCCCCTGTCCTTCCTCTGTCTTGCGTCCCTGAGTTCCAGACTCAGGCTGGTTCAAGATGTGACAGGGGGGACTGGAGCTCCTTGGTGTCCATTGCCTGAAGCAGATCCTGTGTCTGTGACACTCCCTCTCCCCTCAGGTACAAGAGTTTGAGCACATCAATGGGCGCTGGTCGATGCCTGAGCTGATGCCTGACCCCAGTGCTGACTCCAAGCGTTCCTCCAGAGCCTCCTCTCCTACCAAAACGTCTCCCACCACCCCCGAGGCTTCTGCTGCCAACAGTCCCTGCACCTCTAAGCCTGGTAATGGGGCAGCATAGTTGGAGAGATGGAGATGAGGCCGGTATCGGATGGGGCCAGACGCAGAGGGATTGGAGTGAAGGTGGGGAGTTTCTGCCTTCTTCACTCTGCCTTCCCCCTGTAGCTACTCCAGCTCCAAGTGAGAAGGGAGATGGCATAAGGACGCCACTTGAGAAGGATGAAGCTGAAAACCAGGAGGAGAAGCCAGAGAAGAATAGCAAAATTGGGGAGAAGATGGAGACAGAGGTGTGTGGCTACCTGGCTCCTCTAAGGAGAAGGAAGGGGGTCTTGAAGGTCAGGTGTCTGGGAACCCTGCAGTTCATCCAGATTCATTGTCTCCCAGGCTGACGCCCCCAGCCCGGCCCTATCGCTCGGGGAGCGGCCGGAGCCAAGGAAGGCCCCTCTGGAGGATGAAGAGCCAGGGGTGGCTGGAGAGATGGAGCCTGAACCGGGGTACCGGGGGGACAGAGAGAAGTCAGGTGGGTGCATGGACTTAGGGGTGATGGGCTTAGAATTTGGGGGTTCCCTCTTCTGGGTTCAGGGAATGAGGGTGACATTCTCCCTTCCTGTCCCTTACCCCCTCCCACAGCCACAGAGTCGACGCCAGGAGAGAGGGGGGAGGAGAAGCCGTTGGATGGACAGGAACACAGGGAGAGGCCAGAGGGGGAAGCAGGGGATTTGGGCAAGAGAGGTAATGGGTGGAAGGACTGGACACTTGGGAACCTGAGGGAATCAGGGGAGGTGGAGTCTGGGGGACCAAATGCCTGGCACCTGGGTGGGTTGCTGTTCCCAGTTCCAGCAGAGCACAGGGGGTAGTCGTGGGGTCTGGAAGGAGACTCCTCAGGTGTGAGCTCTGTCCCATCTGCCCTAGCAGAAGATGTGAAAGGCGGCCGGGAGCTTCGGTCTGGGCCTCGAGACGAGCCACGATCCAATGGGCGACGTGAGGAGAAGGCAGAGAAGCCACGGTTCATGTTCAATATTGCAGATGGCGGCTTTACAGGTGGGTGGGTGTCGCTTACTGCCACCTATTTTTCACTGGGATTTGCTCATCCTCATAGGGTTTCTCTTTTTGCCTGAGGCCTTAATTCCAAGTAATTGCCAATGAAATGATACACACTGTCTCTACTCCTTGCCCTCAGTCCTTCTTAAGTGCACAGTGGTCCTCAGGTTACATCGGAGCTCCGTTCCTACGGCGCGACGTAACACGATTTTCGCCGTGAGTCGGAACCCACCTACATAAGCACCTACGTCACTCACATGGAGCACATACACTGCAGTGATGAAGTGAAACAGTAAAAAAAATTAAAACAAAGATAACAATTCCTGACCTTTACTTGTGGTAAATAAATAATAAAAAACATAAAACACATATGTACATACGTCGAAATTACAGAATCTTTTTTTTTTTCATGTAAGTAAATGGGAGATGGCGACGTAACCACGAAACAACCTAAGTCTAGTCCAATGTAACCCAAGGACTGTCTGTACTCTTAACTCTAAAGTTGTCTTTAATTCTACCTTTATTTATTTATGACTATATTTTTTTTATTGATTTCAGCGAGAAAGGGAGAGGGAGAGAGAGAGACATCAATGATGAGAGAGAATCATTCATCGGCTGCCTCCTGCACGCCCCACACTGGCCATGTGCCCTGACCAGGAATCAAACCCTGACCTCCTGGTTCATAGGTTGACGCTCGACCCCTGAGCCATGCCGGCTGGGCTCTACCTTTATTCTTAATTCTAACTTGAACCTTGTTTGTAACTGCTTTTATTCTTAACCCTACTCTAACCTTGACCTGTCCCTCATAAAGAGCCCTTAGTGTCCTCCACCACTGTTCAGTTCCCTCATCTCTACCTGTTTGTTGGGTTGGATGTGGTTTGAAAATTCCTGATGCCTCATCTATCTTCCATCCTCTTTTCAGAGCTTCACACACTGTGGCAGAATGAGGAACGGGCAGCTATTTCCTCGGGGAAACTCAATGAAATCTGGCACCGAAGACATGACTATTGGCTTCTGGCTGGGATTGTTCTGTATCCTTTGATACAAATACAAGAAAAAAAAGGTTCTTACAACCTAGAGAGAGGGGAGTTACAGGGAAGAGGAGTCCACACCCAGAGAAGGGGGCATCGTGCCACCCTTTGGGAAGATCAAGCCCAGGCCATTCCTGTTAAATTCCTTGATGGTCCTCTTCCTTCATTGGCAGCCATGGCTATGCACGGTGGCAGGACATCCAGAATGATGCTCAGTTTGCCATTATCAATGAGCCATTTAAAACTGAAGCCAATAAGGGGAACTTTCTGGAGATGAAAAATAAGTTTCTGGCCCGGAGATTCAAGGTGGGCATGAGGAACAAAAGGAACAGTGTTGAAGACGGGCTTGGGTGAGAGGTGGGCCCCCTCTGGTTGGACTGTGGGGAAGGTTAACACCTTGAGGGTGGTGGTGATGCTTGAGGCCAAGACTGGAGTGTAAGCTTGTGTTTGTGACTGTGGTCTGGATCGGGGTTGGTGCTAGGGTCGGTATTGGTGTGGAGTGGGGATGCCCTGGGTCAGCAGTGAGAGCAGTGTGGTCTCCAGTCTGGCTCACTGTCCACTCACCCACTGCTGGCAGACCCTGCGCTAACTCCCTCTCCCCCCGCCCTCAGCTCCTGGAGCAGGCGCTGGTGATAGAGGAGCAGCTTCGGCGGGCGGCCTACCTGAACCTATCACAGGAGCCGGCGCACCCCGCCATGGCCCTCCACGCCCGCTTCGCCGAGGCCGAGTGCCTGGCTGAGAGCCACCAGCACCTCTCCAAGGAGTCGCTGGCGGGGAACAAGCCGGCCAACGCCGTACTGCACAAGGGTAAGGGCCGCGGCGGCCCCGCGCGGGGGAGGGCCCACAACGCTGCGTAAGTCTTCACCCCGCACCCCTCAAAATCTTCCCACCCCTCTGACCCCTTTACCCTCTGAACCAACCCCCTCTGACCTGTAACCCCACCCCTAACCCACCTGGCTTTTAGCCACTAGAGTTTGTGCAGCCAACTCTCATCCTTGTCTAATAGCATTCACAGCAGTGCTTAAGAGAGGGACTTTCTCCCCAGAACTCCATGAGGCTGTGCCCCATCCCCTCCAAAGGGTAGAAGATCTTCACTGACCCACATGCTTGCCATACTGCCGATAGCACCCTCTCTGGGGCCTTGGCCTGTGTAGAGCCACAAAAATCCTTATCCCCAATCCCACAAATCACATTCCTCAGACCTCATTCACCCACGAGGCGGAAACTACCACCATCCCACCCTCTGACCTTACCCCATGAAACTTCCCTTTGACCTTCAACCCTTCCTCCCAAACCTTCTTACCTTGAAAATAAAATATCAAATTCCAAAGCCCTTTAACCATCTAATTCTATCTGATGTAGTAATTGACTCCTGGACCCTTTGATTCCTGTTTTAATTCCTAATGCTGACCCTCTAACCTCCCTCCCCCCTAACATATTAAAACCTTGATCCTTAAATCTTTGACACCACTTACCACCTCCCCACGCCTCCTATTTCCTCCCTATCATCCCCAACCCCAAAACTTCCTTCTTACAGTATGGGATGTTCTGACAACTCCCCGCCCCTATGTCTTCCAATGTCCTCCCCTATCCTCCTTTTCTCCGTATTTTCTTTTCCTTCTTCTCTCTCCGTCTATCTCTGTGATGATCTGGTCTCTCTGCCTCTTTGCCTGACACTTACCCACTCACTGAGTCGCTCTTTTTCTGTGTACTTCTATCATTTTCTTCTTCTCTGGTTCTTTGACATCTGTGTCCTCTCACTCTCTCTTTCTGACTTTATCTGTCCGTCTGGCTCTTCATCTCTTTTCCTGGCTCCATCTCTCCCTTCCCTGTCTCTCTCTTGCCCTTCTTTCTCCGTGGCCCGGGCCCCAGTTCTGAACCAGCTGGAGGAGTTGCTGAGCGACATGAAGGCAGACGTGACCCGCCTGCCGGCCACGCTGTCTCGAATACCCCCCATCGCAGCCCGCCTTCAGATGTCCGAGCGCAGCATCCTCAGCCGGCTGGCCAGCAAGGGCACGGAGCCTCACCCCACACCGGTAACCTCCTTCCCCTCTAATTCCATTCTCCCTGTTGGTATACATACTTACATGGAATCCTATACAATATGGAAAATGACTTACTCCAGTATTCTCATCACCCTCGAGTCTCCTTATATTATACCCCTCAGTAGTTCGAGAGTTTGGTCCTTAAAGTTTTCCCTTCAGCTTATTTCCTTTCAGACTGTGGACTCTCTAACTTGGGTTCCCTCTCTATTGCAGGTCTTTCCCCCGGGTCCCTACGCCACACCCCCGGGGTACGGGGCGGCCTTCAGCTCCGCTCCCGTAGGGGCTCTGGCCGCCGCAGGCGCCAATTACAGCCAGATGCCTGCAGGGTCCTTCATCACAGGTCAGCTGACTCCCTCTCATTTCTCCTTTTCCACGCTTTTCCCTGCTCAGCCCATCTCATTTCCTTGGCAGTACCCAGTGTTTTATGGAATGGAGTTGTTCTGGGGTTTATTCTTCCCACCCTTTCCTTAGCTTCTCTTCCATTTCCTTTCTCAAAAAACCTCATCCAGGGCTTCAGTGGTTCAGCTATCTCTTACCTGAGCCCCCTCCATCTGGGCTACTTCAGAGAAAGAGAATGTGAATGAGAAGGGGGTATAGTGAGAGTTGGAGCATGTGTTCCATCATGCGGCACAAGGGGGAACCTCAGGGAGAGGTGTTTGCTCTGGTCTTACCACCCCTACCCTGGACAATTGCAAGTGGCATGAGGTGACTTAGAAATGAGAATATACTGCCTGGCCATTGTGGCTCAGTCGTTGAGTGTCAACCCATGAACCAGGAGGTCACCCTTGATCCCCAGTTGGGACAAGCAGGAGGTAGCTGATCAGTGATTCTCTCTCATCATTGATATATATATATATTTTTAATATATCTTTATTGATTTCAGAGAGGACGGGAGAGGGAGACAGAAATATCAGTAATGAGAGAATCATCAATTGGCTGCCTCCTGCACACCCGGGCATATGCCCTATCCCAGAATCAAACCATGACTTCCTGGTTCAGAGGTTGATGCTCAACCACTGAGCCATGCTGGCCAGGCTCCTTAGTGATTTTCTAACCCTCTCTCCCTCTCCGTTCCTCTCTCTGAAATCAATTACAAAAAAGAGAGAGAGAACGAGCATATACTATTGTCAGAAAGTGATGTTTGGGAGTGAAGTAGGGATTTGACTTCCTTATCCCCTTTCCTAACAGCCGCCACCAACGGCCCTCCAGTGCTGGTGAAGAAGGAGAAGGAAATGGTGGGGGCATTAGTGTCAGACGGGCTGGACCGGAAGGAGCCCCGAGCCGGGGAGGTGATCTGTATAGACGACTGACTGGATCCCAGGCCTGCCCTTCACCCAGGCCCCGTGCCCGAGGCCGACCCCCAGCTCAGACTCTGGGGTCTGCTGCCAATCCTCCGCCTTCCCCACCCGCTGGGCCACCACTGGGCTAGGAGCCCCTTTGCCCCTCTCTATGACTCCTCTTTTCAAGAAGGGCCCTTTGTCTCTCTCCACTCCCACACATCTTTCCCACCATGCTTTGAAGACTGTGCTGGTGAGAAGAGGTCTGGGTGGGAATTGGTTAGCAGGGTCTTCCAAGAACCTTTATCCTCCACTGCCAAACATACACAGCTTCCCAATAAATGGTTGTGGGGAGGTAAGAGGTGGAGCCTTTATTCCTGCAGGATAAGCTCCATCTTGTGCAGAGGTGGGGGTTAGCACTGCCTGGCCTTTAGAAACTTCCGGTGGAGGGAAGGAGCTTTGAAGAGAGGAAGGGGACTTTAGATAAGGATGACCATGAGCCCTGGCAGAGAGAAAGGGAAGAGGAGGGGTGGCTGCATGTTTCCTTCCCTTGCCTCTCCTGAAATAGAGTGTGGAGCAGTTAAAGGGAGTCAATTGCTGTTCCGCCTCAGAATAAAGGCGCCATTCACTGGCTCAGTTACCTCCTGTGTACTGGCATCTTGTGTTGGGCATCTTACCCCCTCCACAGGGGCCAAGAACCACCCCTACAAAGAGAGTAATGGTTGGGCGATACCCCCTCAAGCCAAAGAGGAGCTCCCCAATCTGACCTAGGGACCCAGGTGACCTAGAAAGGGTGGGAGAGAACACAATGGGCCAGATGCTGGGGGAACCCCCAGCTCTGGGGCTCAGGTTCTTTGAGGACTTCTCCCCTTTCTCCTGAAGGCCTGAAGACGGACTAAATTTGAGTGTGTGAGGCAGGGGGCCTAGTCAGGAGGCTACTTGCTTTGAGGACCAGAGAAAAATAATGGAGAGCCGGCTAGGGAGACACGGGCACGCACACCCTCTTCCCAGGAGGGGCTGAGGAGAGTGGCAGTTTGCATGGCGAACCCTCCACCTCCTCTTCGCTGCCCCTTCACTTTCTTGCTGGCCATTCCCCAGTCTCTCTTCACACTCACTCCTGGTCTGTCCCAATCCCCTCTTCTGTATCAGGTTTATTGGTTGTACATATAAATTATACTTTCCTTTCTGTGTGCTCTGTTATTTTTGAGTGGGAGTTCTTTGACTGGGGGGAGGGATAAGGAAAGAAAGGGTTTTGCTGTTTCATATTATCTATCTTTTTTCTCTTTTTAAAAACCTTGTGACTACCTTTTTCATTTCTGGGATCATCAATTAAAACTCCAAGGCTTTCCCACCCCAATCCTCCTGTGATGAGCTCCGTTTAGAGATGTAGCAGGACACCTATACAGGCCTCAGGTTGAAATCAGAGATAGCAGGGATTCTGGACAGAAGTGTGTGAGGGGTTGCCTGCTGCGATTCAGAACTGCCTTCTATTCATCCTTTTGATCATCCTTTCCACCTCCATCCTTTCCACGCTTAGTTCCCACAAGAGTCAGTAGAGGTCACCAAAGCTCCACGGGTTCAGTTCCAGTGTGCAGAAGTGCGTCCTTTTTTAAAGAGTTGGGGCGTGGGAGGTCAGACCTCCATAGCTTGCTAAGTATTTTAACTGCTAGACACTTCTCTGACATGTATCGTTCACTACCAGGGCTGCTCAGAAGCTGAGAGAGGTCAGACACTTTGCTTTTGAAAGTTAAAAAGGAAAGATAAAATTCAACAAACATAGCTGAGAGGTCAGACAGTTTTTGAATGTTAAAAAATAAAAGGTAAGATTCAACAAACATTTATTGGGTACATACTATGTATTAACACTGTTGTTGGCACTGGAGATAAAATAGTCACAAGTCAGTCATTACTCTCATGAAGCTTACACTTTAGTAGGGACACCAACAAAACACATACTATCTGAAAATAAAAGCAGAGAACATAAAACAAGGCATTATGCTATAGAAAGTGAGGGAAGGGGCAACACCAGGTTGAATGCTGAAAAAGGCTTCCCAAAAGAGGGAACATTTAAGCTGAGACTTAATGACAGGAAAAACCAATATATGGTTTAAATTCACATTTTTAACTCAGGAAAATCCAACTATGCACATGAATCTAGATTTCTTCAACAGAATGTCACTTTAGAACCTTCAATAAAATAGTGTATAGTTTGTTAAATACCATTTGTGTTCTAAATATTTCACCCATAGATGGTAACATCCTAGATCATCTAGGACCTGGGCTGATAATTAAAATGCAGGTTCTGATTCAGCAAGTGAAGTGGAATCCTGACACTTCCAACAAGCCCCCATTGACTGGACTATAAGATACTGATGGGATTTAAAATCTGATGCCTTTACCAAATGCCTCTTTTCTATCCTTGATAGGCCCTAATTAGGTGCCTCAGATGAATGTTCTTTGGACCTTCTGATACCTGCCCTAACAGGTTGGAGGGGGATTCTGAAATGAGGCAGGCCAGAGGCATCTGGGTAATTTTAGGAATACAGTACTGGGAGTGGGGAGACAGTGGGCATGTCAGCAGGGGCGGGTGGGAGGGGACTGCAAACAAAACGGCTTATTTTTCTCAAGCCTCTTAGTGGTAGAGAAGTGAGATTAACATGACATGAAAATCAGCCTCTTTCTCTCCTGTTCCATTTTTTTTTTTTTGAAATTTTCAAACCATTGACACAAAATTGCTAAAATGGGACTTGTTGCTCCCACACAACCAGAGTTGCCCTGGACAAAAGCCAAGTCACAGCTAAGGAAACAATCTGTCTTCTTCCCACGGGTACATAGACTTTGTTTTTATCATCATCCCTGGGCCACTCTATCCTAAACATGTATGGCTGGCACAGTCAGCAGATGGGGGCGATTCGTCTAGGAGCCTCCCCGGCTCAGCATCAACACCTCCAGGGCGTTCCCTCCTGCCGTCGGCTGCACTTCCTCGTCCGTGCCAGTCTTGGGATGGGAGAGGGGGTAGCCTTGGCATCAACCCCTGGTACGACAGCCCGCCCCCGGAACGCAGCTCCCACCTCCCTTCGGCCTCAGCTTCCGGGCCCCGGGGCTACAGCGTGCAGCGAGTCATGTGGGCCAAGTCCTTGATCTCCGGACAGTACAGAACTGGGGGAAAGAAGAAGGGTTAGTGGCAGCGGGAAGATGCAGTCTAACCCTGGGCATCCGAACCCCGTCTCTGTAGCCTCCCGGGGTGGCCCCCTCACCGTTGCTAGGCAGCGGGCGCCGCCAGCGGCGCGCGGGCGACAGCAACCTGTCCCAGAGCCGTCGGAACGCGCGCCACCCCGCGCTCCTCGGCCACGACCCCTTGTCGCTCTCTTCCTCCTCGTCGGCCTCTCCGTCGGCGTCGCCACCGTCCCTGCCCGGGCTACCAGCCTCATCGGGTTCACGTTCAGCCCGCGCCTTCTCCTCCAACCGCGACCACAAGTCCGGGTGGACAGGGATCTCCGTGACCCCGCCGCGCGGGAGCGGGGTGGGCGCGCGGCAGAAGGGGCACGTGACGACGCGGCGGAAGCGCACCACGCGCGCGGCCGCTCCGCTGCGGTCTCCGCGCGCCGCCAGCTCGCGCAGGCAGGCGGTGCAGAGCGAGTGGCCGCAGCGGGCGCGCGCCGTTCCGGGCAGGCGGCGCGGCGCGCGGGCCCCGAGGTTGAAGGGCCGGTAGCAGATGTCGCAGTCCAGCTCGCCGCGCTCCGGCAGAGACGGCACCTTCACCAGGAGCTGCATGGCGCCCGCCGCGGACTCGAGGGTGGCGCTCACGCGGCCGGCGCCGTGGGCAGCACGCACTAGCCCTCCCTGTGACCCGGCTCGGGTCTCGGGGCGGGCGCCGCCGCCTCTGGCCCCTTTTAAAAATGAGACCCCGCCCCTCGAGGCGTCACGCAGTGGTCAGGCCGCTCCCTGCGGCGGCACGTGTGGGGGCGGTGGAGGCCGGCGGCCGGGAATGTCGACGCTGACCGAGCTGGTCGGGGGATGGGGCAGGAGGCCAGAGTGATGCCAGGACCGGGGAGCTGGGGAGATAAGAGGTACACAGCCCTCTACTCCCTCCACACCTTCCTGCACCCCCCTGCCCCCCCTCCCCCCGCACAAAACCTGTGCACCTCGATTCTGCTGTGTCCGTGCAAATCCCCAGTCCTCTTCCTGAGCCCCACCCGGCCACGCGCACGGGTCTCTACAGCCCCTGGCACCTGTTCGCTCAGCTGGTCACACCTGCACAGCCCCATCCAAACAGGCTTCCTCCGCCAGGGGCTGTGCTCGTCCTGCCTCATCTTTAGCGGGCTCCGGGGTGTTTGCACGGATGCTGCCTGGCAGAAACGCTCCTGCCCGCAGCTCGCCTTGGTCTACATCACACACACACACACACACACACACACACACACACACTCACACTCACTCACCGTGCTCTGGTAAGGCTGGCTCCCCAATTTTCTTCTCCAACTGCTCAACTACCAGTTGACATCTCAGTCTTTGGAGCGACTTAGATTTCAGGACCATGGCCTTAGGAATGCTGGGAATCCCTTCGTTCCCGAGGAGTCAGGCCTGGACACCCACACACCATGATGGCTCCAGCAAAGCAGCCCAGCGTGAGTTCTGACTCAGGGGTCTGACTGCCCTCACAGGTAAACAGGACGTGGTACTCACAGCCCACATTCCCTCATGGCGCCACACCCATCCCCAGCTGCCTCCTCTCCCTCCTCTCCTGGACCTGCAATCCAGGTTCTGGTGTGGAGGTAACATCTAGAGCCAGCTGACACGTTGAGCAAAGTTACTTCACTTCTCTGGGCCTTGGTTTCCTCATTTATAAAATGTGGATAATAATAGTATTAAATGAGCTTACATAAGTAAAGGGCTTAGAACCGTGCCTAGCACAGAGTAAATGCCACATATTAGCTATAATTATTATCCTGTGGCCCCAGCCTAGGTGGTATTCATTTTAACTTCTCACTACCCAACATTTTCAACCCCCATCTCTCTGGGTCAATACCAGGTGGGTTTCTCTAGACCAGTGATGGCAAACCTATGACATGCGTGTCAGAGGTGACATGCGAACTCATTTTTTTGGTTGATTTTTCTTTGTTAAATGGCATTTAAACATATAAAATAAATATCAAAAATACAAGTCTTTGTTTTACTATGGGTGCAAATATCAAAAAAATTCTATATGTGACACGGCACCAGAGTTAGGTTAGGGTTTTTCAAAATGCTGACATGCCGAGCTCAAAAGGTTCGCCATAACTGCTCTAGCCCAGTGGTCGGCAAAATCATTCGTCAACAGAGCCAAATATCAACAGTACAACGATTGAAATTTCTTTTGAGAGCCAAATTTTTAAAACTTAAACAATATAGGTAGGTACATTGTTATTAACTTAATTAGGGTACTCCTAAGCTGGCCTTTGCTAAAAACGTCTTCAATCTGATTGAGGTACGTTCGTTCGCTGAGGTTGACCCCTTCCAACTCTCCCATCCACACTCGTCTTGTATACTTGTTTTGTCTATCTCCTTTCCGAAAACCGACTTCTGCGCATGGGCCACGAAGTTTCAATCGCACTGTACGTGCGCGCCCGCACGTGGTATTTTGTGGAAGAGCCATACGCAAGGGGCCAAAGAGCCGCATGTGGCTCGCGAGCCATGGTTTGCCAACCACTGCTCTAGACCAATGCATTTACTGGCAGTAATAGGCAATGTAGAGTTGGTTTTGCGTTTTAACTACATTGTTAAAACCTTAGAGCAGGGGTGGGCAAACTTTTTGACTCGAGGGCCACAATGGGTTCTTAAACTGGACCGGAGGGCCGGAACAAAAGCATGGATGGAGTGTTTGTGTGAACTAATATAAATTCAAAGTAAACTCATTACATAAAAGGGTACGGTCTTTTTTTTTTTTTTTAGTTTTATTCATTTCAAACGGGCCTGCCCACGGGCCGTAGTTTGCCCACGGCTGCCTTAGAGTGTAATCTTTGTGAGGAGGTATACCATCATTTTTAAGCAATCATTTCAGAACTAAGTTGTATTGTCTTCATAGTCACTTGGGGGAAGCTACCTACTTATTTCAATGATGCTGTCATAATTCAAAACTGTTTTGGAAATTCTCTTTGGGATGGTGTTCAGAGATCTCACATATTTTAATATCCCCAGTTGGTGATTAAATCTTAACCTTTTAAGGTAGATTTGATTATATAAATGCTCCCAACATGTTTCACAGTTAAAGCCTCTCTAAGCTTCAGACCTGGGTATCCAGTCACTTGCTCCTCCTTTCTTATCTTCCAGGACCCAAACCAATCATCTCCTTGTCCAAATCAGCATCTCTTCCAGTGTTTCCTACTTTTTTTATCCACATCCAGAAATCTACAACCAGCTCACAGAATTATGAAAAAAATGATGAAGAAAATTGTGTTTAGAAGTTGTTTCAAGCCACTAAATTTTGGAGGTGATTTGTGCATCAATAGATAATTGATCTAGAAAGTTTCTTACTGTCCTTAAGCCAAAGAATATTCTAGAGTGCCCTCTAAGTCACTGTATGTTCTGAACCCACTCGTGTCTCACATTCTGCTGCCATTGCCTCTTTGTCCTTAGACACGGGCTTTGGAGATCTTTGGATCCAGTGTTCTTTCTGCTGCAAAGCTTTCTTGTATGCTGTTCCCCTCACCTTCTGGCTTTCACCTTAGTAACACCTACTTGTCTGTCAGCTCTCGGAGCAGCCTTTCCTCCGGCCTTTGGACAGCTGAAGGTTCTGTCTGGGTGTTGTTTGTTTGTTCCGCCCATTTGTAAGTTCCATGAAGGTTGTTCTGAGTCTGGTTTTGTTCACCATTGTATCCCATAGTAGGACTCAGTAAATATTTGTTAAACTAATGAGTGAAGTTGCCTGGCTGGTGTGGCTCAGTTGGTGAATGTCATCCCATGCACTGAAAGGTCACCAGTTGGATTCCCAGTCAGGGCACATACCCAGGTTGTGGTTCGGTCCCTGGGGTGTGTACCAGAGGTAACCAATGCTTTTTTCTCCCTCTCCCTTCCTGTCTAAAGTCCATTAAAAACATATATTGAAAGAATTAATGAGTGAGGTGAGTGATAAATGTGGTGAATGAGGTGTGACAATAAAGGAAGGTTTTTTTGCAGGGGGTTTCTAAACTGCCTCTGAAGGTAATTATAAGGGGCTTTTTAAAATGTTCTGAGCAATGGGGGAGGCATTTTTAAAAGAAGTGCATAACCCTCCAAGGTGGTTATATAAGAGAGGACTATTTTGAATTTATAAATTCACGTATGTTTGTTACAGAAAAACTAACGATAGTTTAGTCATACATTTTACCTCTTGGTTTCCTCCACAGTCTTCCCAAATGAGTAGAAGATGATGGGAATGGTATGTACGTATTCATTCGTTGATCCAGTTGGTTGCTAATCCATAAAGTGGTATGCTGCTTTTTCTCTTTTGGAAATTGCTCTCCCAGCTTCACGATCAGGGGTGAGGATGGGTAGCAGGGAGATGGTGAGGTGGTGGCGTGTTTTTTTTTAATCCTCACCCAAGGTTACGTTTTCATTGATTTTTAGAGTGACAGGAAGGGAGAGCGAGCGAAACATTCATGTGAGAGAAACATGGACCGGCTGCCTCCCGCGCGCCCCCCAACTGGGGACCAAACACACCACCTAGTTATGTGCCCTGACTGGGACTCGAACCCGTAACCTGTACCGGAGGATGCTCCAACCAACTGAGCCCCCCGGGGAATGGCAAAATTGTATTTTAAGAAAGGCAGAGCACATTCTTCCCTGCCTTGTGATCCTTAAAGGTTGTAACTTTCCACCCACTTTCTATCCCAGGGACATCAGAGTCCTTTGGGGAAGACTAAGGGGCTGTATCTGACATAATCCCATTCAATTCTGCTTTCCTGCCATCCTCACACGTTTTCTTTTTTTTCCTTTATAGCAATAACTCCTTTCCCTTTCTCTGTATCATCTCAACCATCGGCCAGTTTTCATTTTACCTCTCCTTCACCAAATCCCAAAGCCTCAACTTCAGAACAGCCCTCCCATTCAGCCACAAGAAAACCACAAGAAACTTGTTCCTTAGCATGTGTGGGTATCAGGCAAGAGTGAAATTAAGGAGTTTAAGACCAGAAGTGTGAGGGCAGTGGTGTCAGGGGGAGGAAAAAGACCACGAAGCCAGATCTCTCTGGGTTCTAAGGAATGTGGCAACGGGAGGGAGGAAGGAAACTGGGGCCCAAGTGCTTTGGTGCTGGGCCCTTGGTGAGAGTGGTGCCTGGGAGCACAGTGCTTGGGTCTCTGGGGTAAATGAACAGTGGAGAGAAAGCTAGTAGGGGAGCTTTCTAATGGCTGGGGCTAGGCCAGATATCTGAGACTGAGCCCCTAACCTCCCACCCCCTGCAATTTCAGACAGTGATGAGGAAGGATTAAGATTTTATTTACAATTCCCTGGAAAGTCTTACAGAAGAGAGGCCATTATTATTGCTTTAAGATTATTGCCAGAACTAAGCCTGCAGTCCTCCAAAGCCAGGTAGAAGTCCTGGCTCAAAAGTCTATCCCCAGACCCTTTTATGTTAGCCCCGTATCCCTGGTTTGACCGAAAGGCTGTCACTATTTCCTGTGACGCACAGCCCGACCGCTTTCCAAGGACTGCCCTGGCCCAGCTATACATCTGCCATCTATTTTCTCTCGACCTTTGTCAGAAACAACGTATTAACACTAATTCCAGTTTTAAGCCCTTCTTCACCTCCTGGCTGGGAGTCAGGGTCCTTTGTTCCTAAAGATTATCATGTAGTTCCCGCCAGGACCAGCCTGGCTTCCTTTGTGCAGCATAACGGCATATCATAAGAACTCCATTTTCCTTCGTCCCAGATGACGTCACAACTCACTTGTTAGGTGAGTACCCCTTGATGACATTTCAAGGGCCACTTTTGAGGTACTCTGCGTTTCTTGTGCCTACCGTTTAGCTTTTTTTTACCCCCTCGGCTATTGGGGTAAGAGAGAAAGAGGGGAGACCAAATGGCAGAGGGGATTGCCCAGTAGCTAGCTCATGCCTGGCATTAGCAGAAAGGCCTGGAAGAACGCAGAAGGGAGCAGCGGACTACTTTTCCTCTCAAGCCCCACTGCGGAAGGATATGGCTCTGTTCATGCGTGTAGACTATCGAAGCCGGAACTCGTTAGTGGGCGGGACCACTTGGCTCTGGCAGCTGCGTGGAGGGATCTGGAGCTGGAGGGGTTTGGCTTCCGGGAAACAGTTCTGGGTGGGCAGGGGTGCAGCGGCTCCAGATTTGGGTCTCTGCGCCCCGACAGACTATTTCTTGGAATGTGGTTTGTTCCCCAGGAGCCCGTCTATCTCCATAACCGTCTGCGAGGTCAGCTGGCTCAGCACCTGGAGGAGGATGGGGTGGTTGGGTCACTGAAGAAGGTTCTGAAGTTTGAGGGCCTGACCTTAGAGGACCCAAGGGAGCAGCACAGAGGGCCAAGTGGCAGGGAAAGAGTCACAGCTGCGCCCGTTTTGCCTTGTCACCCTGGAACCTCTCATCTGCAAAGGGAGGGCCTGGTAGTGAGTCCTAACCTTGGGTTGGACAACGAGGCCTTGACCCCTGGGGAGGGGCCAGAGAGGGGCTCTGCCTCTGAGTCCCCAGCTCACCTGTAGGGCACCCAGATGTTCTATCAGCTGCTCTGCACTCGACACCCCCAGCAAGACCGAGCTGACACCCTCACTGCGGAGACACCACGCTGAAGCCAGAGGAGGAAAGCAAGAGAACTGATGGATAGGAATGAACATACGAACTTCAGAAGTGTCTCGGAGGAAGAGGATTCTCCCTCAGGACAAACCACTCTTGGGTTTGAGAGTTTCTCGGAAGGAGACAAAGCCTCTACAGGGTCCAGGGCAGGCAGTGTCTCACCAATAGCCAGCTGCGCCACAGTGCAGCCCAGCTGGTGAGCTATGGGTAGAAGGTCCATGACTTTGGCTTGTTGCTTCTTGCCATCCTCACTCTGCACTTTGTCCTTGAGCCACTGGTAACCCTGGAGGCCAAAGAGGATCATCAAAAGACACCCCCACCACCACCACTACCACCACCACCCTGGAACAGCCAAAATAGCCCAGTCCTGCCACCTGAGCCCCAAGATCAAACCTTGATGGTGGCCCTGCAGGGATCTGGGATTCGCCCATCATACTTGCTGGTGATGAGGCCACAGGCCAGAGGGGACCAGGTGACGGAGCCAACGCCTAAGAGGAAGAGGATTGGATGTGGGGAAAGGAATCCAGGCGATGCTGAGCCCAAGGGAAAGGTAGGGACGAGGGGGCTTCGAACCAATCTTGTGGTAGAGCTCTGGCAGCTGCATCTCCACCTTTTCTCTTTGAAACAGATGGTGCTCTGCTTGTTCACACACTGGAGGAATCAGATTGAACTGCCTGGCCACAGAGTAGGCCTCCTGAGTGGGGTGGGAAAGAGATAGGGGTGTGGTGAGGAAGCACTCTTTCCATTTTCTTCCACTCCTCTTCCTCCTCCTCCAATAGAGGGGGTTTGGAGTGGCCATGTGAAAAGTGGGCATCAGTTGTGGGACAGGGGGAAGTGGGGTAGCACACTCACCATGATTTCTGCAGCCCCCCATCGGGATGTCCCCCAGTATAGAGCCAGGCCCTGGTTGATGACATAGGTCATGGCTCGAACAATCTCTAGGCATATGGGAGAGGAGAGCCTTACTGCCAGATCCCTGGCATCCAGGACTCCAGATCTGCAGATCTCTGCCTGCCCCACCCAGACCCCAGGCATCTCTGTGAAGTCAGAGAGGTTGCTTTCTGCTCTTTGCTTCCCTCCCTGTCTAAGTCTTGGGGATCTGAGCATCCACTGTGGAGCTTGGGAGGCCTCCTGAACAGGAGCTGGCTTCCTGTTGAGGTTTGAGAAGTGCTCAGTTTTGAAGGACTCTTAGAGTTGGGGTGCTGCGTTTACCCTCCATGGGACTGTTGGGATCTGAGCGATTAGCAAAGACGATGTCCACATATCCCAGCTGGAGACGTTCCAGAGATTCTCGCAAGCCTGGGGTAGGGATGAGGACAGGAAGGTAAGTACCTTAGTTTCCGTTTCGGAAGAATTCAGATCTCACCATTTTGCCATGGCCGTCTAAATCCCAGTCCCCCTATTCAAAGCCTCTCACTCAGGAGCTTCAGAGAATGTTCCCAACTCCTCTGGGTTCCATACCAAGCCACTTCAGGTTCCCAGTCTCTTAACTCTCACCCTCGATGATGTGTTTGCGGCTCAAGCCTCGCTCAGTTTCTGCCCTGTAGGAAAAGGTAAGTCAAAGATGAGGTGTGACACAGATAGGAGACCAGGGCTGGTCTGCACCTTGAGGAACTGGGATTGCATGGGTTCTCACAGGTGGAATGTAGACCTGGGGTAGCAAATATGGGGACAGCCGTCACCACCGTCCCATACACCACACACCCTCTGTAGATCGTTTCCCCACTTAGAGTGGGGCAGCCACTTACTGTCCTCCCCCAAAAATCTTGGTGGTGATGACATAGCTTGATCTCCTGGAAAAAGAAAAACGGGAGAACCAGCAAGAAAAGGACTTTTGATGATTATGTCCCTAGCAACCCCCCCCCCCCAAAAAAAAAACAACAAAACAAACACAGTCTCACCTCCAACCTTTGCTCCTGAGGATGTTGCCTAGGGTCCTTTCAGCCCTGGGAGAAAGACAGTGTAGACACACTGACCCCTCCAAGGAGGATCAGTTCCTTCCCCTCTTCCTCACATTTCCCTTCAACTAATTCCCTCTCTTGTTAAGTGGAGAATAAACCAGGAGTCCAGTTTATTCAGCCCCATCCAGGACTAAATAATAAAAGCTCCTGGAATTAGGGGTGTAGTCATATAGTTTTCATTCAGTCATTCAACATGTATCACCTGTGCCTCAATTATGCACCAAGCTCTGTTCTGAGTTCTGAAGGGACAGAGTAGGATGAGGGGAGTGGGACAAGGAGACACTGGTTCCAACCATTTGTGTTGCCCCCTCCCCTTGAGTCTACAAAATCCCACCTATCCTTCAAAGCTTAGCTCAGATTCTGCCTCTGAGGGAAACAGAAAATGTTCTCTGATTGCTATAGACTATGATCAGTCCTTGTTAGCTTCCATAGCTCTTACTGGTGATTTTCAACCGGTATGCCACAGGAATTTTTAAAACATGTAATAGCCGACTATTTAGTCGGGGCACTGGCCTCATTTCCCTTAAATTGTCAAATAAAAAAATGACAGCAGCCCTAGCCGGTTTGGCTTGGTGGATAGAGCATCGGCCTGCGGACTGGAGGCTCCCAGGTTCAATTTCTGGTCAAGGGCACATGCCCGGGTTGCTGGCTTGATCTGATCCGCAGTGGGGAGTGTGCGGGAGGCAGCCAATCGATGATTCTCTCTCATCATTGATGTTTCTATCGCTCTCTCCCTCTTTCTTCCTCTCTGAAATCAATAAAAATATATTTTTAAAAAATTGCAACAGCCAACACAATAATGGCCATCCACTGTGAACGAATCAAAATTATATATATTTTTTTGGTCAGATTGGCCAAAAAAATTTTTTTGATGTGCCGCAGAATTTAAGTAATTATTTTATGTGTGCCATGAGATAAAAAAGGTTGAAAATCACTGGGCTACACAATTCTTTGACACATAATTATGAACTAAGATGTGATAAGTCTTGAGTTATGGTGGACTGTTATTCATTCTTTCATATCTCCCTGTCTCTTTGGTTGGTTTGTTTTACTTACACTGTGAGCTTCTTGAGGGCACAGTGATGTTATCCCACCAGCAGTGCCTGCTCTGTACTAGGCTCTGTGTAGGTACTCAGGTGACACGGGGGAAAGCAAGACAGATTTCATAGAAGGAGGAGCATCCCAGTTGAGCAGCAAATATGGCTACAGGAGCCAGTAATGGATACCGGTGTGTCGGAGGGCAGTGTAAAGTGCTTTAGGAACTGAGGGGGCCAGTGGGGACCTGGGTGAGGCTTCCTGGAGAAGCAGACATCTGGCCAGGACTTGAGGATGAGCAGAAGGGTTTGCCATGTGGAGGAGAGGTAGGAGTGGCTACTCCCTGTGTGAAGCCACGGGGGGGTGATATGGCATGGTGTGTTTGAAAATTTAGATTTGGAAACCCCCGCCGTTGCACATAATTGATGCCCAAGATATATTTGTTGGTTTTCTTTTATTTTGACTGCACAGTACGCCCATTGCCCTCTAAGCTGATGTTTGGGACTATGATCCCCATAATGTTTCGGGGGCCCCACTGGCTGACAGGTTAGAACTTAGTGTTGGCAGGATTCCCAGAGTTCTTGAGATGGAAAACATGAAGCCCTGCTGTTCTCTCAGTCTTCTAATTATAACTTAGCTCTTTCGCCCCAGTCCTTACTTTCCAGCTGCGTACACCTCGGTGTCAAACAGGTTTATACCATGTTCATAGGCTGCTGTCAGCACGTCCTCTGCTGTCTAGGGAGGTGAGAAGAAAGAGTTGGAGATTATCCACAGGCCCCTCAATGACCTCCCTCATTGCACTCTAGCACCTTCGCCTTAGCACCTTAGCCTTGATTTCTACATTCTCTTCCCTTTTCCCATCCCCCAGCCTCATGTCCCCTTCGCCATTCTCCATGCTTGTTGTCCAAACCCCAACCCAAGTCCATTTCCCCTTGTTCTGGTTCCCTCATAGCCCCTCACCCTGCTTCTAGATCCCATCACTTATACCTCATCCGAGATCTGAGAACCAAATGTGACCCAGGTACCTGTAAGTGAGAAGCCAGGCATGTGAGAACTGTGGGGGGCAAGCCATGAAAGAACACCCTTCCCTTAAATCTTTTTTCTAACTCACCTAGGCCAAGACAGGACACACGAAGACCAGACTTCCCTAGGTTTCTGCGGGAGACAGAAGTAGCAGGAAGGTGTGGAGCCTCCATTAGGAACGTAGATGATCAGCCCCCAGCTCCTCTCCTTCCAGGATGAGAAGCCCTCAGGGGGTCTCAGTCCAAAACTAGACCCAGTGGGGCTACGGAATTGGGCAGTGCTATGCTCGTAGCGTAAGTGAACAAATAAGTGATTGCTCCTCTGGATACACTGTAACATGCTTATCTTCCTTCCTATCACGTTGAAGATGTACTGCTTGGCTTGTGTTTCTGCTGGTGGGGTTTTGTCTGTGTTTGAGTCATCTCTGGCAGGTGTGGAGTTGGGGGCTGGGAGGAATGTGACTGGCCGAGTGTGATGAGTTTGTGAAAACAGACCTTCAGACAGAGAGTGCTATGCTAAAGGGCAGACATCGGAGTGGGAGGAGTTAACCAAGTCAAATTCAGTCACTCAACCAAGGGTCCCTGGTTAGCCTGGCAGATGAGACTCCAACAAAGGGAGGCAGGACACCTAGGTGGGGAGTATGACAGGAGGGGGCCAGTTCTCCCTCTTCCTCTCCCCACTCCCTCTGCTCCTGTGGGCTTGTGAAGTCTGTCTCTGAACGAGAAAGACCCCTCCTCCAAGCCCCCACTCAGGGAACCAGCTCCCAAGCGGAGCTGCCACATGGAAGGGATGGAATTCCTCACCTGACAAAGCCAGGTGGACTCAGCTGGGTGAGCTCAGCTCAGGCCCAGGCAGGAGCCCCCCTCCTCCCCCTCCTCCCCCTCCTGCCCCCATGCTGGTTCTGAGAGCCCAGCAGTTCTCTGAGATAAAGTTGGTTAGTTACAGTCCACCTTCCCCACCTGACCCCTGTTCCTCAGCATGGGGTTGAGAGATGTGGTCCATCTTTCCACCTTCTGTCCCCACCAAGATAGGTCGCAGGACACTGGGCCCGCGGGGCAGGGCAGGTGGGGGCGGTATCTGGGTCAGGCACCCTGAGCAGTCCGGGGTGAGAAGCCCTTTCCTTCTCCCTCTTCCCAGGACACAGACCCAAGGACACGGGGGGGAGGGGGGGCAGGGGGGGCGCGGGAAAGGCACCCTGGGGATCCCTGCACCCCTGGCTTTCCTGGGGGTAAAAAAAACCTCAGGAGCATCCCCAGGCTCTGACGGGACCGGGTCAACCTTGGTAAACTTGCATTTCTCCTGGTAGGGGTATCAACGGAGACCAAGAGAGGGACCAAGTAAGGGAGGGCCGGTGCTGGGAAGAAGAGAGAGAATGCGCCGGGACCTTCCGAGCGAAGTTTGAGGGGGTCCTGGGGCATCTCAGGAAGCTTCAGGGGTCAGGAAAGGGGAGCAGATTGGGCGGGCTGCCCGGCCACCCCCATACCTGTATTTCATGCCGGTGCCTCGGCCGGTGCTCTCTCGGAGGGCCCCAGGGGGCGCTGGGGGTCGGGGGACCACTGCGGTGCGGGCTTTGGGGCCCGACCCTCCTCCTCCGGGAGGGTTTCCGTGCACCCCGCCGACAGGCCCGCCGTTACCGCCCCCGGGGCCGGGCCGGGCTCCACACAGACGGTCCTCGCTGTTCCGGCTGCGGAGGTTCTGCTCGGTACACGCGATGGACACCTGCATGCCGGCTGCCCACGGGGAGGGGGCTCCAAGGGGGAAGGAAGGGAGGAAACCGGGGAGCCCGAGGGCGGACAGGCGGGTGCAGTGGCCGGAGCCCCGAGGAGAGCGGGGAGGCTGCGGAGGCTGCGGAGGGAGTCAGCAGGCAGGACCGGGCCCGCGGGGGCGGGCGGCTGGAGGTCGCGGAGTTTGCGGTGGGAGGAGGGAAACGCGGGGGAACCACGAATGGAGGTATTCGTCCACAGGGGCACTGGCGCGGGAAGTGAATGAGGGTAACGGTGGGGGGCGATCCAGGAGGGTAGGGACCTAGGGAGGAGTGGGGGGGGGGGGGGAAGGTGCCACCTCAGGCTGATCCGCAGGGGACCCGCTAGGTTCCCAGCCGTGTCCGCAGCGGGCCCGGCTCATCAACATGCAGGCACCGCCCCTCATCTGCATAACCCCGCCCGCCTCCCGGTGAAACCCGCCTCCTCTGCATAAGCCCCGCCTCCCGGAGCTCTACAGCTTGACAATTGGAGGTCCTCGGAGGCCGGGGAGCTGCGCTGGAGAGGGTGGTTCTCGGGTCTCTCTGGGTCCCCAGGCAGGGCGGGCTTCCTCCCCCTCAGCAGTTCTCAAAAGGGGATGATTTAGTCCCCCAGAGGGCATTTGATAAGATCTGGAGACATTTTTTTACTATCACTACTGGGGATGGGGAGGAACGTGCTACCAGCATCTAGTGACTATCGCCCAGGATAAAGCACAGGACAGCACCCCCCGCCCCAACCCCCCCGCCCCCCCGCAAACAATGAAATATCCAGCCCAATATATCAATAATGTTGCTGTTGGGAAAACCACGGTCAGCGCCTCTGTGCAGGCTCAGAGGATGTGGCCACCCTGGCTCATGCCTCTATGAGTGGGGCAGGGCACCCGACCAACCGCCCAAACTGACACACTCAAGACGCAGATAGTGACAAAAAAAAGTTTATTCTGTACTTCTCATGGCATCTGGTAGAGGATAAACCTGCAGAGAGGGCCTGGTTTGGAGGTGACGGGGAGGGCACCAGGGTGGGCTGCACGCGGGCTCGAGGGCAGGCAGTGGAGAGCCCTGAGGGGAAGCAGGTTAGGAGGGGCCCCAGGAAGACAGATTCTCCTGAGGGGTGAGGTGGGTGCTCCTTCAGCCAGCCCTGGCAGAGAAGAAGGGCAGAGAGCGGATGTAGGAATCCAGGCGGGAGCGGAAGAGCTCACTTTGCACAGTTTGTCCAAGCGGGCACAGGGGGTTCTTCACCACCAGCTCCACGTACAGCTGTGGAGAAGGAGGGTGTTAGAGCCAGGCTTTGGACACTTCTTGTTCCCGACTCCAAACCTAGTATAACCTCAAGGATGTGTGAATGAATACATCAGGCTCAGGGGCTGGGAGGAAGCCCTCCTGGATGAGAAACCAGGGGTGGGAGTGTTGAAAACTCTGACTTCAATAGAGATAAAATAGGATCCTGGCAGGAAATCTGAAGGCGTCTCGGGGCTCTACATGGCCATGCCACCCTTTGAGGAGCTTCGGGGGAAGGGTCCCAGGGGCGGGCACTGACCGCACTATAAATGTGATGCAGCACATCTCGAATGGGCCCCACGCCCAAGTCAGTGTTCATCACAACCTTGATCCCCGTGGGCGTCTCGTAGTAATGGAGTTTGTAACGGCTGGTTTGGAAGGCCAGAAACCCATCCTTCCTGCAGGGATGAGGAGGATGTTAAGGAATGGGAGCAGAATCTTCCCCAAAAGAAACTCCTAATCATCTCTGGCTCGATTCCCTTCTCTTTAAACATATGTGTAGGTGCCTGGTTGAGCAGACACCTCCCCCAGGCTCTGTTCCCCCTCCCCACACCCAACCTCTCTATCATCAGATTTCCCCCACCATCGCTCCATGCAGCTCTGTCTCTGGGAGCCAAAGGCCCCTTCCACTCCAGAAAGTTTCCCCAACCCCCAATTCCCAAGGCTGGTCCTTTCCCCCTCAGCATGCCCCCTGACTCCGCGTACATGTCTAGCGGGGACATCTTGCTGACAAACGAACGAATAGAGAAGAGCATCCCGTACATGAGCTTGAACTCCTGGAGGAAAAAGGGCAGAGTTAGCTCTCGGTTGTTGAAGGAGACGGGCCAGGGGTGGGAAAGAGCCACGGTTAGGAGCGGGGAGGCTGGGCTAGGACTGTGTGCGTCTGGAGATGCGAGGTCACCCGGTGGCGCGGGGCCCCCTCGTCACCTCCTCCTTGGAGATCCCCGCTTGCTTCTTGCGGTGCCACTCGCTGTAATGCAGACAGACTCCATTTCGGTCAAACAGGTACAGGTTGTGGACAGTCATCTGCGGGGCACAGAGCGTGAGCCTTGCGCTAGGACCGCCCAGCTCCCGTGGGTTCCGGCGTTCCGTCCCTGATCCTTCCCAACTGGCGGGTTCCCTCTCTCCCAAACTCACCGGAACTGCTCCAAGTGCCTGTCACTAGATACTTCCGGTTTCCGCGGAGCCCCGCCCACCCGTCCTTCCGCAGCCGCGGAGCAGTAACTCCGTCCAAACACCTCTCTCAGCCAGCGCGAGGCCCGAGGGACTGCGCGTGCGCATCCTGGCTCCCGGGCCCCTGAAGCCGTAAAAGCCGCGGCGAGTGCGGTCCCGGGATGGTGACGTCACGGAGGCGAGCGAGGCGGGGCTGCGCGCGGTGGGCGGGCTGCTGCCAACGGTTTTGAGTGTCGGGAGCGCGCGAGGGGAGGTCTCGGTCTTCCCGGATCCGGGCTCGGGGGAGGGGGCTGTCGCTTGTCCTCGCCTTGACAAATTGGGGGGCTGAGAACTGGAGGTGTGGGGTAATTGGGACGGGGGAACCGGGGTGGAGCATCTCGGGCCAGGTTTGAGGGCGGCGTCCTCTCTAGGGACGTTCTGAGGGTGTGACCGAGTTCACAAAGTTTCCTTCGGGGTAGGAGGAAGGGAGGGATTCTAGGGAGCCCGGCCATGGCTTTCTTGCTTGGAGGGGATGTACAGGAGAGTTGACCCTGGGTAGACAGGTGGAGTGGGCGGAGGGGTGCAGTGGGCGGAGGGTGCAGTGAGCGGAGAGGTGCAGTGAGCAGAGAGGTGCAGTGGGTGGAGGGGTGCAGTGGGCGGGGAGGTGCAGTGGGCGGAGGGTGCAGTGGGCAGAGAGGTGCAGAGGGGTGCAGTGGGCAGAGGGGTGCAGTGGGCGGAGGGTGCAGTGGGCAGAGAGGTGCGGGGAGCCTGACATCCCTGCCTCTGAGACTTGAGGCAGTTGACCAGCAAGTGAGGCAGCTGGACGGAAGTTAGGTCCTTATTGGATTTGGGGGTTTTTCGGTTTGCACGTTCTGGGTGTGGGGATTTAAGAGCTGAGTTGACCAGAGACGTAGCCTGTGCAGAGCTGACCTGTAACTGTCAGCACTAGATGAACTGCAGAGGTGCTTCTGGCCCACAGGTCTTCTGTCCCCACTCCGTGCTGCATCCCCCCTTTCCACAGTTTCCAGGAGCTGTGAAAGGAGATGCTCTTGCTCTCTCCCATGACCGGAGGTACGGGTGGGAACCTTTCCTCTAGCCAGAAAGCCTCCAGACCCTTATTCACCAACGTTCCTTGGCTTGGAGCCTTCCTCCTTTCTCCCAAATCTTCCTTTTCTGTGCACGTTCCCCACTGGACTCTCCTCAAGCAGAACCTGGAATTCCCAGCTCTGCTGTCTCCAGTTCTCTCTTCCCCGTACTCATGGCCACATCAGCTACCAGTCCCAGTTCACCGCTCCGGGCAGAGGACCTCCTGAGTGACTCCTCAGAAGCCCCTGGGCTGAACCAAGTGTCCTCGGAGGTGACCTCCCAGCTCTATGCCTCTCTGCACCGCAGCCGGCAGGCTGAGGCCACAGCCCGAGCGCAGCTGTATTTACCCTCCGCCTCCCTCCCGCCTCATGAGGGCTTAGACGGCTTGGCCCAGGAGCTGAGTCGAAGTTTGTCCATTGGATTGGAGAACAACTTGAAGAAAAAGATGAGGGAGGTGTGTCTGGGGCGGGGGGGGGGAGGGGAGGGTGGACCTCTAAGATTTTGGGATTGGGGGTGATAAAAAACAAAAAGCTTTATTGAGATTTGAACTCTTGTTGGATTTCAAATTCCTTTTAAGTACACAGTCATGCTTGTTTCCGGAAGCAGATGTATATGAGGGGGAGAGTGGCCTGGGACACTGTAATTTGGGAAATCGTGAAATTTCCCAGTGTTTTCCTTTGTCAGAGATACCTGCACTGTGGGCTAGGTTGCTGTGTTTTGACTGGGATTTGGGGGCTGGGGGTGAGGATAAGTTTTCTCCATCCTAAAAAGTAACTAGGGACTTAAGGATAGACCAACATATGCTAAGATCCCTCCAGCTCAAAACTGTTTTGATTGTATGGTTCAAAATTAGGTATGTAAATAACAAAAGCATCTATACTAATAAAAGGGTAATATGCTAATTAGACCAGGCATCTTCTGGACATCCTTCCGGACAAAGCCACAGTGGCGGGGGCAGAGGCAGTTAGGATGATCAGGCCAGCAGGGGAGCAGTTAGGGGGCGATCAGGCCAGCAGGTAGAGGTGGTTAGGGGCGATCAGGCAGACAGGTGAGCGGTCCTGGATTGCGAGAGGGATGTCCGACTGCCGGATTAGGCCCGATCCCTAAACCAGCAGTCAGACATCCCCTGAGGGTCCCAGATTGGAGAGGATGCAGGCCAGGCTGAGGGACCCCCCCCCCCCCCACACACACACACCTGTGCATGAATTTCATGCACCGGGCCTCTAGTAGTTTAGTAAACATGTTACAGAGAAGATATTAGTGTTGCATAGAAAAGGTCTCACAACAATTTGCAGACTGGTAGGCCTTCCAGAGTTCGAAAAGCTGATAGCCATGGGCTACACAGTCTTTAGGCGGGGTATTTGCTCTCTAGTTGGTAAGAATCCTCTCCACATTTAATTTAACGTGCCAGATCAACTTATTCACACAACCTGTCTGGCTTCTGTACACATTTGAGTGTCTGACCCTTATTGGGTCACGTTCTCTTGTTCTTGCTTTTCTAGGTGCTGGAGCAAAAGGTATTGGGCTTTAGGGGGTACTGGATGCCATCTACCCTGGCAGTAGTTGAATATAGATTATTCAAGTTGCTTCTGGTTTCTGTGTTACTTTTTTCTAGGATGGTTCCAAGCATATCTTTGAGATGGAAAGTGTTCGGGGCCAACTCCAGAGCATGCTCCAAAACTCACGTGATACAGCCTATCGTGAGTAAATCCCTTCCCCACAAAGGAGAACCTG